ATTTAATTTTCTCGTCCAATAAACTTTCATATTATTTTGCATCCTGAATAATTATATAGAGGAAGAAAACGAGCCTAATGAGTGATAGAAAACTCACAGGTGTCCAGGAAAAGTAATCTAGGAAAGAACGAGAATGGTTAGACACAGGTGGTAAATTGCCACACGATGCACCGAATAACATTTGTGTCGCGCGCCCGAATAATTGATCGTCCTTTCACGTGCCACACCGGACGTAAATCGAAGAGCTGCGGCAAAATCGTCGAAGAGGAAGCGTTAATATTCATGGAAGATTGTCCACGAAGAATGTTCTCTTCCGATTTGAACAACTTGATAAAATGTACAAAGTTGAAACTGAATTCATTTTCAGCGTTACTTTTACAAATTAAAAATTCACCCTTTTGCTGTACACCATACAATAATTATTCTAGTCTGTTTATTAGCTTCGAAAATTAATTTTGACTTCGGTTTAACTTCAGAAAATCTACGAGTCCTAAAATAAAGGCACTAATGAAGAAAATATTCTTTTCGAAATTCATCCAGACAAGCAAACCTTAACACGGTTTTCACCAAGATTTTACGAGCTGCTGTTTGGCAAGCAGGTAGACAGTCGCGTATGCGACGCAGTCTACCGACGATTTTCACCATCCCAGATCGGACACGATATACCCGGACGCATGTCCAGCATAGTCATAGAAGTAGTATCCTCGTTAACGGACGCCAAAATCGCCCTTTCACCTCGTGAATACCAGAACAATGGAGAACGAGTAGAAAACTGGCGATCGGAAGCCGTGTAACAATTAACACGCGTTCCATGTCAAGCGAAATCATAGGAATTTTTTTTTTTTTTCCTATTGTCAGGAAAATTTCACGCTTTCCTTTTCAACGTTGATAATAAAAAAATAAATCATCCGTCTTTCTTTTTGTCCCAACCACGAAAACGTTAATTATGACAACACCGAATCAAAGCACAATGGCAAGGTTTCTACCTAAGGCATCCCATTTCGAGTTTCGTGACCACCTGTTTCGGAAATCTTCGACCTAAGAAACCCCGGTAGAAACTTTGACAAACAAGAAGCGAAGGTTCGCCGTGCAATAAGCCTGTCGCAAACACAAACGAATCGAGCGATTTAACGCGAAAGAGGTTCAGGCTACGATCCGACTGGTGGCCGTTGTTTGTCCAGGAAACCTAATAATAACGGTACTCATTGTTGTATCGACAGTCCCACGCCCGGTTCGTCTATTTAGAAATAGGCGTTACATCGGTATTGTGCACCGACTTCCAAGAGAGATGCAGAAACATCATTGTCCGAGAGATGGACGAATCGGTCGCCTTTTAATGTTTTCTTACAAACAGTTCCCAACTATTTTTTCCTGATTTTCCAAATCGAAAACAAGGCCGATTATATTGATTTTTCGATTTGAAATCCAATTTGAAGAATTTTTCACTTCGAATAATCAATACTGTTTGAAATTCTAAACGTTATTAAAGTGATTGAGAGTTTTCCAATGAAGAGTATTGAATGGGCATCGGTAACCGTTCGGTCGACGACTGAATGCAGCACACCGCTGCCGGATACCAGCGCACAGGATGACTTTTATTAAACGGTGAAATTCCAACGACATAGCTGCACGATTCCCATGGATTTTTGCACAGTGTACGTGGCAACCTACATGTTTCATACTCAATCTCTTATTTAATCTAATAAAAATGATCATTTTCCTGTTATTTCCAATAAGAACTTATTGCAGTATAATTTTGTAAATGTAAAAATAAATGTAGGTTCGTTCAAAAATATTGGAAACTCAACATTTTTTATGGATGTATATACGTTTGCTTTGCATTTTTTTCTACGTCCGTCGAGCGAGCGAATATGTTATGTGGAAGAGATCCGATGCAAATTGCGGCAAAAAGTGAGAGTGGCAATGAGTCAACATCCGCGTTTGCTATTTTCTAGCCTTCGATAGTTTCCGAATGAAACCGAACAATCATATGTTCTTTTTTTTCCCCTCCACTCTATACCCTGGTCGATTCTTTGTTATTTTTGTCGAGAAGAAAATCGGATCGAATCGAATAAGGATCGCGAAGAGATGCATAGGGAGCAGACTGATTTTCTTGTTAAATCGCTTGCAGAAGACGCTTTATCTTTAGAAGCCACGGAGACAGACAGTGTCCCACCGGTTTTTTTCTCCTTAACGGAAATAGCTATCATTCTATGCGCCTTAGAATGAACCGGCAATACTCCGCAAAATTTATTTTCGTGGAGGTTTACGTATCCGCCGTCTGGGCGGAATATCGGGCGTAGAATCATCAAAGAGCAACGGTCAACGTGGAAATTCATGAAAATACGACAAACTTTCTTCAAAACAATCATCGCACTGTGCTTTAAAAATTAAGGATAAATTTTTCATCCTATATTGTTAGCAGTGCTATTCAATTTCTTTTACGTTTCTAATTACGTACTCGATTCGAGGCGTCGCGTCGCGACGCGCCTGTTTGATTCATAACTCCCGTATCTCGGTAGATCAAATCGCTCGTCGATTAGCGTGAAATCGCGGAAATGCTCACGTTTCGTCGATATGATTCATGGTTCCGGTCGAACGGCTGCAGACAGGTGAGCTTTTATTGAAACAATGCACAGAACGGTGCATGAAATTTCGTGGCATAAACCGTTCGACTATATTTCTGTCCCCATTAGCAAATAGCACATGAATTATACATGGCAGTCGGTTAATTAGCCGCGATGTGTTATGTGTCGAGTTTGTCGAGTTGGAAAATTAAACAGCTCGATAGGTGAGCGGCTCGAGAGAATAATCGAACTGAATTCGAGGTACGTCGTTATTTTTACGTATGATACAAAAAATAAAAAAATCGATCGAGACCACACCTGAAACTCTACAGTGTACAAGAAGCAACGAACGGAATTGTAGAAAGAGACATTTGTTAGAAATATTTTTGTCATCGTCTACCGATCGCGACTCCGACCCTCCGTGTTCCACGAGCGCCGTTAGTAAATTCTCTGTTATCCATGCGTGTTTCTGTGTACGTTTGTACCGTGGCGTCTACGCACCTCTCAGACACTTCTATTTATATTTTGATGTATTCGCGGCTGATTTTTGCGTAGAGGTTACTCATTCATTGGTCGATCAATTAATCTACAACAGAGAATGAGAGGTTCTCCTTGTTCGTTCAATCAACGCGAAACTAGTCTCTCTATTATTTAATTAATAATACAATTATACGATTACGTATCCGTGGTTTGGCACTGCAAAAAGCAATTTCAAGAAAAGGATAGGATCGTAGAAACGACACCGTGTTAAATGGGAACGATTAATCGAACGACCGAAACGATTTAAGCTAGCTTTACTCGCGGTCGTTCGAAGCAGGCGTTCAGCTACTAAGTAATCTCACCGATTAGTGTTATTATCACTGTTATTACCCGCGTTGCTTTCTACTACCTGCTGAGTATTTAGTAAAGCAAAGAGTCGAGCGTGTATGGAAACTCGATAACCAGCAAATTGCCTATTCCCTTAATTAAATTAACCAGTTTTAATTTTAAACCAAATTTTTTGCAATATCCGTTGAAAATAATTCAAGAATTCATTAAAACCAGAAACAATTTCGTGGAAACAAAGTCGGTTGATTCGTCTCCTCGGACGAAGCTCGTTTCGCAGCGCTTGTTGCGAAAGCAACGACAATAGCGATCATTTGGACGTTAATTAACACCGGTGTGAGAAGAATCGGTGTTGCGACGTGTCAAGAGAGTACACTGATTCTCGCTACGTGGTCACGGATTGCCGTCATTTCAAATAATTACCATCACCGTTGCTTCAACCACGAAATTTTTCTCTTTTTACCAACGGATTACAATATCGTGTTAAATTTCATTCTACGTCTCGATAAAAGTGCAACGCGATCAAGGTTGTATCTGAAATTCGTCTTAAGTATGGGGGGTCTTGGACAATTTTCATTGAAGAAACCGGTGTCGGATAAGACTTAATCGAATTCGTTGGTGTTTCCTTATAAATCATGACTGATTTTTGTCACCGTATAATCCCATGTGTAATCGACGCGAATGACTAATCGATCCGATAATCAAGAATTCTTTAATACATACTTCCTTCCTGTTTGCCAAGAACCATCCCGAGATAAGGTTAATAAGAAAGCGCGGCTATTGACTACATCCAATGCTAATAGGAAAATGTACACACGAGAAGTGCATCAGTGACAGAGAAAATAACCTATTTCACGATCGCTTTCACTGTGGTGTTCAAAGAAAAACCACCGACGATCTGGGACGGAAAATTGCTGAAGAAAAAAAAAAGTGTATCAGTCTGAAAAAAAGAGGGGGTGCCGGTTAGCCGATGATAAGGATCGAAGATACAGATTAGAAAGGGGAAGCGAGGGAATGTTAACACTATGGAAATCCGAGTCGATACGTCAATCCTCTACACACGGAATACAGGCGAACTCGTATAATACCCGCGTTAGAGGCCGTCTCTCGTTTTTGTTCCTCTTATTCTGTCTACGTCGTCCGCTGTACGCTTCCATTTAACAGCTAGCAGTAGCGGTGCACTGACTCGAAAGTCTGGGAATCGAAACCGCACGGATTCCCCGGCGGCGGATCCGGCGACGCGGCTAGACGCGACCGAAGCTAATAGCGAGGAAATTTTGCGGGGACGGAAGAAAAAAAGGTCAACGCCGCGCGTCGTCGATACTCTAGAGAAGGCATTGGCCTATCAGTAGAAAAATGGAGATGAACGAAACGTCGCGTGAAACAATTGAAAAACGAACAGGAACAGAGACACCGTTCCGTTCGTTCGATCCGTCAAACTACAGTTCGGGCAATAAGAGAATTCTCTGTTAACAATTCTACCTCTGACAGTACACGATGTCACGCTTTCTCGTTTCTCCCTTTTTCCAGCGAATAGAAAAAGATCGACGACGCCCGCGTGTTTCGAGTTTTGTCAACGGATAAGAGATGATGATTTTGCATGCTAACCTGAAAGTCTAGCGAGGAATCGAAGCATACCAGCGGCGGAAGACAGGCAATGAGCCGCGGTTCCAGCGACCAGAATTCCACCGGCGATCGGCATTTGTGTTTTCCTCCTCTTTCCCCAATTGTCCTGCGAGTGTATGCGTTGCGGTGGTGTGCGTGTGTGTCTGTAGTCGATCTCTGGCTTTCGTGTTGCGTTCCTCTTCGTGTTTGCAGCAGAGAAAGAGCGAGAAAGAGAAAGAGAGGTGGGAGAAGAAACGAGCTAGACAAGGATAAGTGACTGCCGGGGGGTGACGCGAGTCCTAGCCTAACTTAACCTCTCTTCCTCGTTTGGTGTTAAGGGACACACACGAGCACACCGGATGAAAATGCAAGATCCTCCGGACGGTAACGCGGGATGGTCGCGCACTGTTTTTTCAGTCCACGGCACACACTGTTCCCATGCCCGTGATTTTTCCTCGGATCTTTGACACTCCCGATTCGCGTAGCTCGACAGTCGGTTTCGTTTACGTGTCGTACGTGCGCGCGTGCCGTGTGTCGCGCCAGTGAAAACTCTGCTAGCTCACAGACGGAATGGTAGACTGCGACAGACGTACGGCCGACGGGATAGATAAATTGGCCTTCAGGGGGAGAGAGGGAGAAAGAAATAGTCCTCAACCGGTGAGAGAAGGGGGGGAGGAAGAGGAGGAGGAGAGAAGCGTGTACGGCGGCGTAAAGTCCAACCACGGCCTCTACACGGATAGGAGAAAGACAGATTCTCTCTCCGTACACTCCGACACGATGTTGTCACGACTCACGCACTCATTCGTTTCTCGACGTTCGAGTAGTACGCGTAGAATGCGCGCACATTATTTAGGAACTGCTGTTCGAAAAAGAAAGCCTCTCCTTTTTATCTAGCTTGCAAATTGTGAAACCGTCGCGGCGACGAGTTCGAATAAACGCGGCACACCGCGCGATTACGCTTCTTCGTCACCGTTACCATCCCGCGAATGAACGCGACAAAACTCTCTTAAATTCTCTTCTCTCCCATGGGCTATTTTTTACAACGATACAACAAATGCGAACGGCCTATCGTATCAACGTACTGTGTGTCTCTGCGTCGATTATACCTGCGATACTCGTCGTACTGATCGTTCCTAATCTTCTTAAATATGTCATCGTGACCGCGTTTAAGAATCGCGGTTGTTATTCGCGTAACTCGTGGGCCCTGACGGGCCCTCGCGATTATATGGCAACGACACTGCACTGTCAGACACAAACTAACATGGAACAGCCGAGCGACGACTGACTCCTCCGCTCGCGAGCCACCAGCAACGTTGCCACATCACTACCCGAGTCTCGATCGGGCAAGTCGGGCAAGTCTTCGGCCACCGACGGACAGGTACGACGGTCACTGCGTTCTTGGTGCTGGCGCGCGACCGACTGTTCCATTCGATTTCTTCTCCTCTTCTCTCTTGCTATCGCCCTGGGACAACCGTGCTCTGTTGCTATTGCTGTTGCTGTTCCTGTTCCTGTCGTTTGTCCGTAACGTCGTGTCGGTGCCTTCGCGATCAACGCTTTATCCTGCCTCGCCACGACTTGTCACCGCGGCTTCGAAGCCTATCAAGCTTTACTCCGGTATCGGCGACCGATCGTTGTCGCTGCTATCGACTGGCAATTCGTTCGGTGCATCGAAATCCATACGACTCTGTGATCCGAACGAGAACACAGCACCGAGCTAACTGGCCACATCTGCTGCCGATTTACTTGGGAGCTCTGTTAACTATACAGTACGACCGGCCAGTCTGCCTGCCATCCAATATGCTCCCTCGCTTTCTTACTCTTGTCTAACAGCCTGCCAGCCTTCTCGAATCGGCCGAGCCTACCTCTCGTGTATTCTCTCCTCTTTGCCTCCCTCCCTTTGCCACGCCGCTTTCCTTCTCCTTTCCTCTTGCCCTTCCTCTGTCGCTTCTCTCATTCACTCGCTCGCTAGCTAACTCACTTTCTCCATCCTTCTTCCACGGAACTCTCGTTTGCACCTACCACCTTCCTATCACGCTCCTCTTCTCGCTGAAACTTCTCGCTCCGTCGAATGAATGGTTTAGTTCGGGAGGGCGGCCGTGCCGGAAACAGCCGATTGCATCCGGAAATCACCGAGCCTCTACTTCCCGCATTAGAGCGCTTCTTGAATAAAATTCCATTCTCTCTTCCTTTCTTCCTTCACCGTACGATTTATCTGATGGCTTTTTTTTTATACACTTTCCCGAATTCGTGACGATACCGTGAAACGTTGGTAAAATCGTAATAGATAAAAGGATGGACTTTGATTCCTGGAGGAAAAACTTGTCCACGACTCAACCGCGCCTTCGTCCCTTCGCGATCCGTTGTGCCGGATCGCGTTCCACGAACCTTTTCGTGTAACTTTTCGTGCGTGAAATTGTAATACGTTTTGACGCGTGCATTTCGTTTCTAGTGCATGCGCTTCTGCGCATATTTTCTTTCCTCTTTCTTCTTTCTCGTTGATTCATTCAACCGACTGAACCGTGTGTCCCGTAACGGTAGTTAAACGGTGTATCAACCGCGTTCGCGTAAACGCATTCCCATCGTTGCACTATTTATGCAAATACGATTTCCTATTGTAATGGAGCCAACTCTTTCGTGCATATTTTATCTCGCCTTGTCCTAATTTCTTTTTCCTTTATCTTAGTCATGCATTATAGTCAAATCTGATATTTCATGCGGCGCCATAAAAAATTATGATCCTGGTTAATAATCTGTTCCCTTTTATTTCGTTACCAAATCTTTATAGGGTTTTATCAAGACAAAGTTCCATTGCCTCGAAACACGAAGGGATTGAATCGTTGCATGTTCCACGTATTTCGTGAAACTGGAGCAGTATTTTAGGCTAAAAATTGACGTCGATTAAAAAGAACTGCAGCGTCTGGTGAACTAAATTATGCAAGAAAAATATACCGATACCCTTCGACACGATACAGCGGCGGTAAAAATGTTGCCGCTTTAACCGCCATTCTACGCGTATTTTTCAAACATCTCTTTACGATCCATTCGCGCTTGAATCGTTGAAAGGGGTCGAATTTGTGGATACAGTTATGCCGATTCAAATTAAACATCTCAAGGCTGGGGTGTTTCCTGTTTATCTACTCACTTGTTTATGCCATCCTTGTAACACATTCTTTGTAAGACAAAGTATGAAATAAATATTAGATGATTATGGTTATGATTATGATCAAGTACAGCTTCCTATTTTCAATGATGAACCATCAATTAATAGATGCGTTTACGTATGACGATGTTGTCATTTTCTATTTTATCGACTCCTTTTATCAAGCTCCTTCAATTGTATAATTTGTTATTTATCTGATGATTAAGATCTGCAATCGTATTATGCAAAATCAAGCAGTGACGTAAGGAGATGCGCTGATTCATAACATAAAATAAGAGAAATGGTAATCGGAAGTATCTTAAGGTATGCTTCCAGTACATGGCGCGTCATCTGACGGTGATGTAGGAATATTTACAGCCAAATAGTTCATCATATAAGCAGAAGGTGGCGCTTGATTAATGTTCTCGTTATTTTAAATCTTCCTTTAAATTATGGGGACCATAGCGGTCCGCCAAATTCTCAAATTCAGCGTCTTGATATAATTGTTTGTAAATTTATGTAATCAATGTCGAAGATCGTAATAATAAATGCAAATATAGCTAAGAATGATATGGATTGTGAGCACTTTGTATCAGAAAGATTCAATAAAGGGGAGGAAAAGAAACAATGAGAAATTCTATGCGGTGGCAATGTTCCTCGAGATTGCACACGTATAAAGGACATTCGACGTTATATTTAAAAATAGTGCGAGATTATTGAAGCATTTCGCTTCACCTGCCTCAGAAAGGAACATCTGCGAAGCAATCTCGATTTCCTTGCGTGGCGATCCTTTGTGACCGCGCATCGTCGATTCACAGGTTTCCTCAACCATGGAAATTAATCAACCTTAGACCATGATCAGGATTGATAATGGGAAAACGTGATGCCCGCCACGGTCGTTCGTCCTGGCTGGATTCAACGATCGAGAAAGAGATTCTATCATCTTCTTTTTCGTTATTCGTTGAAGCGATTTGTCTGGACGCGGTCAAAGGGAACTTTATCGTTCACCGATCGTGAAAATAGCGACGCGGCCACGTTAGCAATCGAATTTCACGAATCGAATGGCGGAAAATGCGATGCGCTCTTCTGTCCATGGTCAGCTGAAACCTCAAAGCAATCAATGATCGATTAGAAGATTGGTGTTTTCGTGATCACCGGCATTACTTGCACTTTACGTCACGTACGGTTAATCAATAGCATGCGTCGTATCGATCATTTATTGTCACGAGAGAATAGTTAATAGGTTGGAAATAGGTTTTATACCTTTCTTCGCAAACAATTCGCTTGCAACTCGTAGTACATTCAGAATGATAATCCCTGACAGCTGATAGGTTTAGCGAGAGGAACGAAACGTAAGTTAACGTGTCAGGATGTCATATCGTGGTTGGTCCCTACCGTCCACGTAATTAAAGCGATATCTTCGTGCAAAAGGATCATGATTTGATAGACGATCGTAGAATATTCATAAGCAGACGTCGTATTCATCGGCGCAGGCGTCGTTTGTCGATGTCGTCGACGATGTCCTCCGGGTTCCTCGTCTGTTTTCGCGGCAAACAATTGTTGTTCGTTCATTCGGCACCGGACTCGGTTCTCCGCTATGTCGACCTCCCTGTTGCTCGCGAGTGCCTTCTTCTACGCCTCCTTCCTTGGATTTTCTTTGTGTCAGACATCAATGACCATGCGTAAGTTTCCGTATAATTATACCTGTAAAAATAATTATAATCATGTCAGTGAAATTAGCAAATTAGCAAATTACAACTCTCAGAGTAATTAAAGAGTTAGAAGAAAATGAAGGTTTCAAATACGACTATCATTACTGAAATTTAAAATGTACCCAACTAAGTATTAAAAAATCCAATGACAATTGAATCGATCGATACCTTAAACATTGATTGACTGGCATGAAAAATTTATCCGTTCCCAATACACTGATACGAAAACCAGCCGTATTATCATTGAATTATTTACTCGATAAACGTCAGTCTAAAACCTTCCGCATCTTCGCTGTCGATTCGTTCGACCATTTCCGGTCCTTGACATATAAAGTAAACATTTTTCAATAAAAGCAATTACCACAGAAAAAAATCATACATTACATCACATAGAAAAATAAAGTAAAAGAAAAAGAATAAAAAGGGTTGTTTTTCCATATAGTTTGCATGTATTCCCCTAGAGCATTAGAAACGTGCAACGTTTAGATTATTAGTTCCTGATTACATCTAATAGTAGGGTGACGAGGCAGCATGTTCTATAAAACTACATATTCCAAAGTAGCCAGGTGTCGCATCACGTGTAAAAAATATCGATAATACTGTCACGACATTAGTAATTATTTGCAAATATTATATAATATTCAAGGGAATAAGTGAGATAAGATTGTAAATAAATACAATCTCTGTACGATATTATACTTTTTTTCTTGAGTATAAAATACCTTTCCTATTTTTCTATACTCTATTGTGTCATACAGTAATAGTGTTAGAGGAAGCAGACACGCAGATTCTGGGCCTACTGAACGAGGCTGCGCCTCAAGCTGAGAAGAACTTTGGGGAGGATGTCATCACCGTTGAGATTTCCACTGTCCAAATTGATCGAACAAACTTGGAGGCCAGTTTTGAGAGAGGTTAAAGAAATTTTCACAACTTTCGATTCTTTCAATTAAGAAATCAGACAAATCTTGCACCCTATATAAAACATAATATTTATATTCTTTTTACTCCTGAAACAGCCAGCTGTAATTATACTTTGTTCTTATTCTTGTCTCGTTAAAATCAACTTGCAGTATGTGCTGCCTTATTTAAGGGAATCAGTATCGTACTCGACATGACTTGGACCGGCTGGGAAAAGTTACGAAACATGGCCGACAAGAATGGAATAATATACAAACGGGGCGATAGCAGTATAAATCCGTATGTGCAAGCGATCGATGATCTTTTAATGTTGAAGAATGCCACGGACGTGGGCTTGATCTTCGAAGATGAAAGGGGTACCTTGACATTAGTATTCAATGAACTTCTAGCAGAACGTTTGCTAACGAAACACGATGTTTTGATTTATTGCAGAGTTGAATCAGAGTCTGTATTATTTGATTGGAAATTCGATAATCAGATTGGTGGTGATCGATGAATTCACGGAGAAAACGGTTTCGAAGATACGGAGCATGAGACCTTCGCCATCTTATTATGCGATTTATGCGAGCACATCGAAAATGGAGGACCTATTTCGAACAGTAAGTGGTCGAAAATCATCAGAAATCAACGAATCTGTTAATTATTCCGTGATTATTAAGTGTGTTAATAATCACAGGCCATTCAAGGAGGATTGGTAAAACGAGATGGGATCTGGAACTTAGTGTTCACAGACAATAATTACAAAGACTTTAAATATATCAATGGAGATTTACAATTAAACACATCGATCACCGTTCTGACGATGAAGAAGAATGTTTGCTGTCGTCTGATGGGTGAATCTTCCTGCAATTGTCCCACCGATGTTGCGGTACTTTCAATTTAAATATTCTTTAATCCTTAAATGTTAGACTAATAGAACTGAATTGAATTTCTCTTGATACTCGTATAGATATTTTCGAACTACTTTAAACGACTGGTAGGCCTAGTAGTGAGTTTAATGAGTGAACTACAAAAATCAGGGATCAGTGTGGAGCCAAAAACTGGACGATGTTCCTCTCCAAACGCCAGTCAAACCGCTTCGAACGTTACCTCTGAGGCTTTTAACAAAAACATACTGGCTGTGAGTTCTATAGAGATTATAATTATTACTTGTGTACAATAATAATTGATGTAAGGAGGTGTACCAAGAAATAAATTATAATATTAGAGACTAGGAGGCAATGACACTTTCGAGTATTGGTCGGAGAAAGCAATGATCACGTACAAAGCAGAAATAGAATTCGAAACTCTTAATAACGGGGTCATGGAGCCTTTGGCTACCTGGACGAGACATACCAAGATTAAAGAAGCTGAAGGAAGAAAGATCGAACCTGCCAGAAGATTTTTTCGGATTGGAACTAATCCTGTAACATATTCCTCTTACTCAATTAAATATTAGTTAATTTTGTATAAAAAATTCACTGGTAAAATTGTATTAGTTAGTACCTTGGACGGTGGCCAAAGTGGACCCTGCAACCGGACAGGTGCTGAAAGATGAAAATGGAAATGAAATATGGGAAGGTTATTGTATAGACTTCGTGAAGAAACTCTCCGAAGAAATGCAGTTCGATTATGACTTAGTCGTACCTCAAGATCGACAATTTGGAAAGAAGTTGCCTAATGGACAATGGAACGGCTTGATTGGTGACCTTGCTAAAGGGGTAAATATTATCATTTCGGTGAAAGTGATTCAGTGATTCACATATTTGCTCACCTGATTTCGAATTCTAAGGAAATATAATTTAGCAGCCGAATATATGAGTCATTGTGTCATATTTTACAGGAAACTGACATCGTAATTGCCGCACTGACGATGACATCAGAACGCGAGGAGATTATCGATTTCGTGGCTCCCTACTTCGAACAGTCTGGTATACTAATCGGTGAGAAATTTTCCTTTACAATAGTTTCTTCAGATAATTAATACCGCGTAATCGTTTTAGTAATGAGAAAACCAGTTCGCAAACCTTCCTTGTTCAAATTCATGACGGTCCTTAAGGTTGAAGTCTGGCTTAGCATCGTGGGTGCGCTAACGTTAACTGGAATCATGATTTGGATACTCGATAAATATTCTCCTTACAGTGCTAGAAATAACAAACGTTTGTATCCATACCCCTGTAGGTGAGAAATGAATTAATTAATTGAGCAGTTCAAGGAAAGTCAATGCAGCAGTTCCTATAGTAATTACAACCTTTTGTAGAGAATTTACATTGAAGGAGAGCTTTTGGTTCGCCCTGACCTCCTTCACTCCTCAGGGTGGGGGTGAAGCACCCAAGGCACTATCAAGCAGAACTCTCGTGGCAGCCTACTGGTTGTTCGTCGTCCTAATGCTTGCCACCTTCACTGCTAATTTGGCAGCTTTCCTCACCGTGGAACGAATGCAGGTTCCTTCATTTTCCATCACGTTCGTTCTAGAAACATTGAAACTGAAAGTTAATCTTTTTCGTTAATATAGTCCCCAGTTCAATCGTTGGAGCAATTGGCCAGGCAATCAAGAATTAATTACACTGTTCTGGCCAATTCTAGTGTGCATCAATATTTCATGAACATGAAAAATGCTGAAGACAAATTGTACACGTAAGTCTGCGATTTAATATCAATATTGGGTATCTAATTTTATTATTATTATTTTTCAACTCTGTCACAGTGTATGGAAGGAAATCACATTGAACAGTACGAGCGACCAAGTGGAATACAGAGTATGGGACTACCCTATCAAAGAACAATATGGCCACATTCTGCAAGCGATAACGCAAGTGGGCCCAGTGAAAAGTTCCGAGGAAGGCTTTCGAAAGGTACGATAGACCTTTCGAATTATAATACCCGTGTAATTCATTACATAGTTTATTGCGCACAAATAAACTCCTGAGTAAGAGTAGGGAAATCGTCATCGAACCGATCGATCACGTCCAGAAAATCACCGATGACTGTGTTTTTGTTCTGTTGCAGGTGATAGAAAGCGAGAACGCGGAATTCGCTTTTATCCACGACTCGTCGGAGATCCGCTATGAAGCAACGAGAAACTGCAATTTGACAGAGGTTGGAGATGTGTTCGCAGAACAACCTTATGCAATTGCTGTCCAACAAGGAAGTCACCTGCAAGAGGAGATAAGCAGAAGGTACTCGATTCGAATCACCTCTGTGAAACCATCATTTTTTAAACAGATTTTTATTATTCTAGAATTCTTGATCTACAGAAGGACAGGTACTTTGAAACATTGTCATCGAAGTATTGGAATCAGTCTTTGAAAGCACAGTGCATGAATTCTGATGACAATGAGGGAATAACGTTGGAAAGTTTGGGTAAACTGTTGATGATTAATAAACTGTAGAATTCTGAATGTGTAAAATATTGGCAAATGATAATTTTCAAATAATATACAATAATATTTAGGTGGAGTATTCATTGCAACTCTATTCGGACTCGCTTTAGCGATGATCACATTAGCTGGAGAGATACTCTACTACCGCAAACGCAACCCACAAAAGGACAAACGAAAAAATAAGAAGAAGGTGAACACCATTGATAACGACAAGATCATGATCCAGAAACTAGCATCGAAATTGCAGATGAAACCTGCCCCTAACACTATGCTGTTCGAGAAACAGATGAATGCTCCTCGAGTGTCTCACATCTCTGTATACCCACGGAATTTCTCTTTCAAAGAGTAAAACAACATTTTTCCCCATCAGAATATTAATTTCACTATAGTAATCTGACTACCGTTGCTTATTCGAGACGAACAATTTGATAATAAATGCAGTGTAACGAGAGTGGAAATAAAGTTTATAGCGATTATTTACAGTTACCAGTGTCTTTTACTTTTTCACAATTTTCATCGCACGATTTACCAATTTTTCACGCTTCTTGCAGACGCTGAAAAGACTCATAAATTGAATCGGATCGAAACGATGTATACTCTTTCTTATTCTATGAATCACTGAGATTCTTGCGAATTATTCATTTTTCGATCGCTAGGCTTTCTGTTGAATTTTGTTTTCCAAAGGTTTGAGAAGTATTTTAGATTTTTTTGATTTTTTGAAAACTTAAAACAGTAAGAAGATTAGGCTTAGACGAAATTTAATGTTGTCGTCTAATACATATTTATCGTAGTTTCTATTTCAATGTGAATTTTTCTCAAAGAAATACTTTTCCAGCTTAGAATTTCTCCATGAAAGATCGCTCGTGTCCACGGGTTATTGTCCTGCCGCGGCTTTTTTTCGCCGATCGCGGTAACGGAGTTGCATAAATGAAAGTGAGCAGTTAGCAATCAGTCGACTGTATCGTTCCAATTCGTTCGTTCGGTTTCGTCGCAGTGACGGATTCAGAGATCACCTTTCCAATCGTTCTCCACCGAACCACGAAACCTGCCTTATACCCACCTACCAAACTGTCCTCCAATTACGCGTGTCGAATAAGCCAAAAGAATACTTTCTTTTGGAAAAAAACAATTATACGTTTCAGTGAACAGACAAAGTGTACCAAAAAGAAAACGAGAAAGAAAGAAGACGAACAGAGAGCATTGAGAAGAATTGCAGTTTGTCGCCGATCAAAGAAATCATCTTCTTTGTATGATCGGTATGAAATTGATATTTTCTTTTTTGCTGTTAACGAGGTAAAAATTGAGGTTTCTTTGAAATGGTCACGGGCGAGCAAACAACGAGCTGTTTTACGCTGACTGATTCAAATCTTTTCTGATCGACTCCAGATCAGTTTGCGTTCGCTGGTGACAAAGGTGGGGCGGGTGTTTTCGAATCGACAAGTCGATATAAAGGGTATCCGAGCCACGACGAGATCATTTCGTGGGAAAGTGATGTGGCTCGTCGAACCGGAACCGGAAACGGAATAAGTGATCCACCATGCCTTCCTACGAGCTAGATCGTCCTCGCTGTAGCAAGCTGTTTCTGGTAATTTTTCTTTTAACACGATTGCATTCAATTTCTACCAACTTTCAACATCTTCCATCATTGGCCTTGGTCAACTTTTTTCACAGATCTACGTGTCATTAACGATCCTCTGGGTCTCAGTGAATGCCAGGTTCTACGAGGACCGCTTCAAATCTCTGTCCCAGCACGAACCATGGGCAAGTGACATAGAAACACAAGACTTTGCCTCCTCCGAGTACTCGCCATCGTACGTTCATTTCCCAGAATCAGGAAAACAAGAAACATTCGAATCCTCCGAATCTTACGACAGACCCAATAAAGAATGGTTCTCAGCTTCATCCAGTAAACGAGTACCTCTCGAGGACAAACACTTTAAAAAGATAATATCTCCATTTTACACGATCACCGAGAAAGATTCTCAAAAATACAAGGACATCGTGATGAAGTCTGGCATTCCCTACTGTCAAGAAATTAAAACTAAAAAACCAAGCAAAGATGGAAACAAAAATAGCATGGTCTGTTACAAATGCAAGAATCCTAAAACTGGAGCCACTTACGAACAGTGTTCCTACGTTTCTAAACCATCAGCCGACTCCAGCAACCAAGAAGAGGTCGTTGATGATCCTTCAGGGTTTAGAAACAGAAGATCCAACTCTGATGAAGGTTCTTATAGCTTCAGAGGATCGGACGATTACAGGAGACACGACAATCCTTACAGATTCAACGAGAAGTTCTTCTCTGACGCTTCGGAAGGTGTACCAGCCGAATACAAGAACAAGGATGAGAAATGCGAAAAGGTCTTTAAAGATTCCATGGTCTGCATGGTCTGCAAGAACACCAAGAGCAATGCTAAATACGAGCAGTGTTCTTACGTTCGCCAGCCTAACGAGAAGAGGTATGCCTTTACTAAATCGAGCTCCTTCAAGAACCCTAAAGAAAAGGAAGAGGCGGAGGATCGTGATGAAGAGTCGGAAAGCAAGCCAGTCAGAGAACGCACTAGTTTTGATCACAAAAAGGAATCAGAGAAACTGTCTGACGGGTACAAAAAGACTTCCGATAATTGTAGAGAGGTGGAAAAAGACTCGAAGACCTGCACCATTTGCAAAGACCCTGAAACAGGTGGTAACTATGAGAAATGTTCTTACACCTATCAGCCAGACGACAAGGTGTACAAGTACAGCAGCTCCAAGAGCTTCGGTCATCCCAGAAAATCATCATCATCTGACGATGACTCCAGTTACAAAGATGATAAACCCTCTGAGAAACTGACGAGAGAAACTGATGATTCTGGCTACAAAGACGATAAACATTCTGAGAAACTGACGAAGGAAGCTGATGAGGAGTACAAAAGAGACTACTCCATTCCTGAGAGTTCGTACTTCAAGGATGACCAACCAGAGTACATCTACCATCCAGCAGCATCGGAGACTTCGAAATCCACCTCCGAAGATGAGGATCCTCTCGCAGGATACGAAAGATCTAAATCGGAATCTGAGAAAATCGCTGAAAGGATCGAACCGAGCTACTGCAAGAGGGTGCAGAAGGGCTCGTTGAGCTGCAAGGTATGCAAGGACCCGAAGACTGGCAGCAATTCTGAACAGTGCTCGTACGAGCAGCAACCAAGCGACAAGAACTACTCTTACAGCAAGTCCAAGTCGTTTAGAACTCCTACAGAGACGGAGGACAAGTCTTATGATGGTTCAGAGAAGAAGGAATCCCATTCACCATACAAAGATCAAAGTTTCGGTTTCTTCGGGGATGAGAAACCTTCGGAGAGAGACGCCAGAGACTATTCAACATCTGATGCCGAATCGAAAGTTGAGGAGAAGAAGGAATCGACGTCGAGGTCGACCCCGAAGAAGACCGAAGTTGATTTCTCCGACGCATTTAAGAGGAAGGCGGAGATCCAAAAGTTCTTGCAAGAGTTTCAGAAGGAAGATCGCTCGAACTGCAAGAAATTGATGCGTAATAAAATGACCTGTTATCAATGCGTTGATGACAAAGGATTCCGGAAAGAGGAATGCGCTTTTATCACTGACGGTGATATAGCTGAAGACAAGATCGATGAGACTGAAGTGGAACCTAACAGAAAGGTACCAAGGTCGATCCCTGAGGATGTTCCTGCGGAACCAGAAGTTTCTGCTAGTGAAAATATCGAAGTGAACAGGAGGAAGCCTGAAACAGCGAGTTCTGAAGAGGCTGAAAAGCCGAAGGAAGCCGAAGCTTACGAATACGTTGCTGAAACTAAACCTGTGTTCGATAAGGTCCTTGGAATCACGCTTCCAGCTTACATGCTGGCCACTTCTGAACACGAAGAAGAATTTGATAGAATTGTAGTCTCGGATGTTGTTTAGAGGCGACTTTGTGGTTTATCTTTTCAATCCTTTGCAGTCGGAAGTTGAGGGGTATTTATGTAATTTTATTGCTCGTTGAGTAAACTCGTTGTTTAAGATCAATATTTATTTATTATAAAAAATTTGTTACTTATCACTGTGAATAAAAAGGCTATTTCCTTCAGATATCCGATATCTAAATCCTTGTTCCTGTAAATAAAAATACAGTAACAAGATCAGTAAAGAATCTTAATATCACCGGCTCAGTCGCAGAGAAATGGTTTAATCAGACGAATGTTGACTTTCACTTTAATCGCTTCCGATTACAAAGGGTTAACTTAATTGCTTGTAGCGTTAGAAACGAAGCTTGTTAATCGAGTTCTTGTACGAAACTCGTATCTGAATATCATTAGAATAAATTAGACGTGTTTTCATTGTAAAAACAACGTTCGTCGTTATTTAGTGTTTAAGTGACGTTCAATTGTCGAATGGTTTGTAATTAAATTCCATCTTGTTTGAACGAAATTCATTTTTAATTACTAAATACAATTTCTCCTTGGAGGAGAAAGGAGTTGTGAGATTTCTCGTGAGATGAAAACAGACGCGTTAGAATGATACGCCCTGTCGTTTATTTCTGAAGCTGATCTGACGTAGCTTTTCGTCATGGTTCAACTACAGCGAGCAAAGAAACGTCACGATCCCTACAAAATTGTTAGATCCAGATCAGGAAACATCAGTTTTTACCGCAGATTTGTTTGTCGGCTATGAAACCACCTGCTGCGTTAACCGATTACATTATCCCCTTTGAATCATCTTTCGACTGGAACCGATCTTGCTTTCTATAATCGAACCGATGAAATGCTGAAGAATCAACAACATCTGCTTCCTCACATTTTATTCAAGATGTTATTCCAACGATAAAAAGTGGAATTGCAATTCGTGTGGAGTTATTTCGATCAGGTTTAAGTGATGATTAATAACAATGGACGCGAGTACGTTTCATCCGTACGCGCCATCAGCAAGGAAGCAGCGAGAAAGAGGAATGGCGGCGGAATAGGAGCGTGACCCGCGAGTCGGCTGATGGTTTGGCCGCAGTAGCAGCGAGCGCGCGCTAGTGTCGGCATCGGTGCTGCTCGTCCCTTTCCATATCCGTCACCTTCCACCTCCTGGTACGATCACGGACCTCCGAGGAACAAGCACGACCAGAGAGAACCGGTTCCTATCGGCTGGTGGAAAGCGGCACGAGGCGGCGCGAGCTTACCCGGGACACCGGATTTCGTATCGTCCAGCGGATACCAAACGTTATCCGACATGAGCACCTCCACGTTCCTAGGGTAAGATTGGATTTTCATCTACCTATCAAACATAACAACCGGATGCTGGATCGTCTAAACATCCTTCGTACCTTCAGCTAGCTGTTTCATATCGTTTCGAACAAGTTGGACTGAGATTTCTAGTCTGAAGAGATGATCTTTTCTTAGGTCTTGGCCTACCAGGCTGACTGTCTTTAGAATTTTGTCTTAGAGGATCAAAGTCTAACTTATTTCTTTGAAAGTTCAGTTAAGATTTAGGGTAGAATTGTCTAGAAGATCATTTTAGCCTGAGGAGAGTGTTTTCTGAGGTTATAGGCTGCCAGGGATGATGAAGTAGATGGAACCGAATTTGGTTATAGGTTTTTTTTTCTATGAGACTTGAATCCCAAACAATATCTCAGTATAGATCTGGATTATGATAGAAGAAACTGCTGTCTCTTTAACTGCTAGAGGAATTTTTATTTGGAGCAACGAAGGTTAATTCATTCTTTCTAAACTTCAATTGATATTCCAGTCTGAAACATCACGTCAATGCAAAACGATGTAGTTTCGTTTCAGATTCTTAACCTAGGAAGAAGGTTTCTAGATTGCAATGTTTTGCTGACGGAAGCATCTTTGACTCGGGTGCGTGAACGCCGAGGGATCATGGTGACCCAGCAATCTGGGCATTCGAATTCCCTGCTTCCAGGTTGCACGAAAATAGCGTCAGGGGATTGAGAAAGGTCGGGATCTTTCGCGTTCATGGTGTCTACGTACCAGAACCCTTATTATTCATCTTCTTGACGCGTCTGAAGAAATTTGATAACCAACCAAGTAATTGCAAGTTAACTAAATTTAGAAAATCGCGTTGAAAATCTCTGGTAATACGTTCACAATGGATTCAGCTGTATGTCCATACGTTTATTTAAAGCCATTTAAAATTACATAAATAGTGAATCAGTAAACACGATCGAGTGCCAAAAGTGATTATTTCGAAGCAATAAGAGCAAGGTGCTCCCCGTTCCAACTATAAAGTGTTAGATTCCTAACTCAAAGACCGAAAAATATTAGATTTATCCTCGCGTCGTTCAAAATCTGACGTTGACGAGTCTCGAGCCGATCGAGAATGGTCAAACGAGTGGAACTTGTTCTTTGAAGATGGCAGTTTTAACGGGGGGCCTTGCGACGATTCCGAGAAACAACTCGTCGACCTATATTTTCTCGTCGAAAAGGAAAACACCGAAGAGCATTCATCGAACTAACCAATGGAATGATTCTACGTTCGCTGTAGTCAGATTGCTCGTAGCTTTCCATCTTGATTAATCTATCTAATGATTTGTATCCTTTCATTCTGCTTAGGCGAGCGAGCGATCTTTGAATCAATTACGATTCTACGTTGCGATTTTGCGAATAAAATTAATCACAACCCCTGAAATTTTGTAAAATAGAGACTAAACTTCTACACCATTATGAAATTCTTAGGAAACTTTCAGCCGGACGAAGTTAGCTATAACTACTCGAAATTTTTCAAAATGAAGTCGAAGCAAATATACAATAGAGCAAACAAGTTATTTCAGAAAGAAGCATGAAACTAAGTCGACGCATCGAAGCAGGGGAAGCTCAGAAGCGTGTTTATAGTCACCACCCACGACGGGTTTCTATATCCACGCGGATGAGTAATCTCGCTTAGCGGCTCGACGAAATAATCGATGCATCGAAACGCTGTTCGATTATCGCCCTTATTTTTTACTTCAAACTGCACCCTTCTATAATGTTCAAAATAAGCGATCATCGACCTTTGCTTCATTTTCTGTCTTTCCATCTTCATTTCCTTTTGCTGAATATTTAAAAATATCATTCTCTTTGTATTACGTTGATTTTTGCGCGAAAATACGATGTGATGTTGGCCACGTTCCTCTCGAAACAACGCCTACGCTCGATCCAGTCTTGGACGTCTCGCTTGGAACGAATTTTCATATTTGTTGCAAAAAAAAACCAATGTCTTGGACGTTGTTCAGACGTGCTTATAATTTTCCTTTGGAAACATAGACTGGTTATAGAGCAGTCTAATAGTTTCAAGACACTTGCTAATAAGAAAATATCTGAAATTTTCCTTACATCAAAATCAGCAACGTTTCATGGAAATCCAGTACAGGATTAGTTCGCCATCATCCACGTATTCATCAACAATGCTGTCACTGGACATTTCCATCCCAATAAAATTCCCCCCACAGACGATCGTATTCGTCGATGCTTTTTCGAACGACAGAGTCGCGATGGAAATACACCGTGTGTTTCTAGGTCTACGCCTACGAATTATCCAATTTTGAACGTCTCCGTGCTTTGCTCCTAGCCCCACCATTACGACCTATCATAGCTATCCTATACTATTCATCTAATACAATAGACGTTTGAAGAAAAGAATAAAAAAGAGGTGCTTATTGTAGTATGATTAGGAGCATCTCGAGTGGACCTAGTCATCAGGAAAATTCGCAGGTGTGAACGACCCTTCGATCGAGAAGGTATAAGAAAATTGTTCATTGCCACGTGCCACGTCCGACTGGCCATGCGATGTATTTTTAACGGTGCGTCTATCGTGCGCATCGCGTTTTCAACGTTCAGCTCGAACAAACGTTCACAGAGCCTGCTCATTCTAATAGCCATCAGGCTCCGGTGCCCGAGATTCGTTCGCGAGCTCCACAACCGGTCCATTCACCATTCGCGAACACCAGCGGACCCTTTTTGCGCATACATTGCTTTCTCCTTCGACCAGACGACAATCGAGTTTCTTTTTGCCGAACCGTCTGCTCTCGCCTCGACAACTCTATGCAGATTCGTTCTCCATCGCTGAACGGCACCATTTCCGATTCGATTTCTTTAGCTGATCCATTCTCCATCATATTTTTATCGAATTTAATCAGCCATAAGGGATTAACGATTTTAAAATCAAGGTTCCCATTAAGAAGTTGATCATTCTGCAAATTGGCGGATCGCTTTGATCGGACACCGTCAGGTGTCTTCAGCTTCGCGAGACGAAACCGCGACGCGACGTCGAAGCCCTAAAAATAAAATAATCGGAAGCATTTTGTACAGCACGGTAAAGCGCAGGTCGGCCCGCTCTAAATTTAACTACACCTCGCGTATCTACCTAAATACACTTGTACGCACCACGGCCTGTTGTTGGCTGGGTTCCGAGCTTCGCGACATCGCGCCTTCGATTCGCCATGACCGAGCTTTTCCGAGAAAGTTCGCCTTTTCCCGGGGATCGGCTTCGTCTCCGACCGATTTCTATCCAATCGCTTCTTATTGACATTCTGACGTTACATTAGGATCTTTGTATCATGAAAATTAACACATATCTCCTTCGATTTCCCATATGGGGAATTATAGCCCAAAAAAACTAACTATACTAATTTATTTTGCCCTGCATCCTATGAATAAGATAACAAATTGAAAGCTCCAATTTGAAAATGAATTGTCCAAATCCATAATAATTAGAATTTCAACGTGTCTGACTACGCGTGTCCATTTTTACCGAGGCAGTGTTAAAAGAAGAAACAAGACCTGTCCTCGACCACCAAGGAGGCACGAATCACCATTACACGTGACACGTGTAAAAATGTGAGCCAGAGCCGATTCGTCGAGCAGCAAATCCTATTACTCGACGTTTATTTTTTTCCAGCGGGGTATCTCGTCGTTCGATCATCGTTTTTCAGTTAGAAATCGTGCCGCGGAAATGTTCGATGGCTTTTCCAAGAAAGTCGACCAGTCATGGTGAATTACGATTCACCGTTGCTTTATCGATAACAATGATGTCATCGGTTTGATTCGATGTTAAAATTAGGAACGAATTGAATGAAGATTCAGACGTCTGCGAGTCTCCTTACGATTATTGGTAAAAATATCGTCGACCATGATAAAATTGGACGATTACTTTGGAAATTCGTGAATTTTCCTTGAATCAAGTCGTAGAGATATGTAAATAAAATAAAACCGCCGTTGTTTTTAAGCGTTCTCCAAAATTCTCTTATTAAAAAGAAACGAATTTTTACGCGCACTGCAAAACCGCAAATTTGCAAAATGAAATTAAAGTCGAAAATTTTCAGTGTTTAGCAAAATATTTTTGACAAACGATCATCGTCTATTTTTTGTGAATTGAGCACAGTAAGATCGGAACTGACTGTTTAACTTGCCAGTTGTTTTTTCAGTTCAGTCGAATGAGACGATCAATCTTAGGTTTCAGAAGGTTCAGTCACCTTGTAGAAATGAAAGAAGCGATATAATGTATGAAGACAGATCACTGACAGTGGTAATAATAAAAATAGAGGAGTATCGATATTAGGTAGATAGCGAGTAGCTAACCGCTCCTTGAAACCGTTGTAAAAATATCGTCTCTTTAAATAGAGAAACATCATACACGCAATATCATCAGCGAAATGATTGCCGACCATTTTTCGCCTAGCAAGCGTGTTGCGTCTCCTCAGAAACGACTGACCGGGCGATCGTGTTACGATTTGTCCACGTTCGAGGGCAGTTATCAATTCCACCTCTATTTTCTGTTCTAAATGAAAAAATTTATATTATAAAATTGATAAGGAATTTCGATTCTGAAGTGGACTTTCTAGCAATTAGATGAGATTATCAAGACTCATTTGCGGTTACCAGTTCGGTTCTTAAAGTAATTAAGCGAGGCAACCTTCCGACCACGAACGGACTTCCTTAAAAGGATTAGGTAATGAAGCGAGTCGAGTCATCGGAAGATAAAACTCGTGGTCGCGACAATATATGTACATATGTAGGTTACCATTAATCGTTCCTTGATAATTCCAAAAGCAAGTTCAGTCGATCGAACGACGGCGTGTCTCAGGGAAGCAGATAAATCGTCTCGAGTACATCGCGCACGTGGAATTCAGAAAATACACTTCGATTCAGGTATTTCGGGACTCGTTACTCGTTGTTGTGTCAGCTGGTGCGGTGAGATTCTTCGTTAGAGGATTCATCGATAAAACACGCCTCACTTTCGCCTTCATTTTCTTCGTTGCAGCTGAAATGAAAGTTAAACGTTCTTTAAGGACATCAATTTTTAAATCTATTTTCATCGTACAAAATTTATGAATTCTGCTCTTCCATAAATAATCGTAATGCAATTGTACTCGGTGCTAAGGAATTATCTGCGAGTTGGAACGTTAACACCTACGCAATGGGAAAGTGACCGAAATGACCCGTTTTGACAGTGGTCAGTGCGTTTGCAAATATTATGTGGTGCACGTAGCTGCACTAAAATATCGACACTTATATTGCAGCGTGACTCAACGTTCGAGCAATTGACTTCCACACCGATAAGACAAGAATGTCTTGCTCAAAACCTTATACGAATCTCGCGAAATACTTTCCCTGTACATTTATGCGAGAATCAATTTCTATGATTGATATAATCATCGTTAACTTGTATAGGAATGCTTGAAAATCTTTCCGAAAATTTGAATACAAAGTTTGTAAACTTTCGGGGTGTTTGAAGATGATCCAAGGATATCTATGTTTATGGGATTGCAAATCATAGTTCAGAGATTTAGAAGAGATTTAGAATATATTGATTTGACAACTTTTTTTATTGTATATCCTGTTTCAAAATTCTTCAAATTTCGTTAATCCTTTGCAGTCACGTTTTACTTTGATGTGGTTTACAATTAGTGTCAAACTGCAAAAGGTTAATGACCCTTCCAACAGTATATCCGTAAATGACCGAGTGTTTCTTTTTTCAGGAATTCGGACGGTCTGGTGACAGGTACGTACATTAGTGCCAAAGCAAACAATTATTTATGGATTTCATTACGAGCACACGCAAAATGCGACACTTATTTTGTAATAAAATTTGAGGAACCAAAAAATGTCAAAACTGATCACAGATACTTATCTTTTAACGTCGTTCCTTAATCGCGGTAATATTTTGACAAACTTCGTTGTTGTCGAGGGATTTTTTTTATTCGAAAGATAAAAGATCCAAGGACGACGGTGTGTAAATCTTCGGCAAACACTGTTAGGTTTTCGGCGAGCCACGTGCGAAAGTGCAACGAAAACGATGCGCAGAATTCGCATAGCTGGCCCTCTCGTTAGCATTCCACTAAATCGCTAATCGTTCCAGGACTTTGTCCCGCGCCTCCACCACCACCACCACCGCCTCCAGTACCTGGTCAGGTGCCGGCCATGAGGATCAACACCGTCGAGGTAAGCCTTGCTTCGTCAGTTTGCCTTCATAACTCGTCGAGCGAGTGTCGTTGCCTTCGGCGAAATGACTCGCCACTGAATTTGAACGAAAGGAATGTACGCTTTTGTCTCTTGAATCGCGTCGTGTCTATCTTTCGAAGATTCTTCTTTATTGAAAGTGTCTGTGAAGATTCATGATGGTGAGAAAGAGAAAAAGAAATTGGGATGGGAGAGAAATATGATAGAGATCGCGAGTTGAGTCAGGATACAAGTTGTTTATCGAGAAAATTTTTTTCTCTAACTTAACGGAATCCTTTTATTTTTCTATCTGCGATGGAAAGTAAGTTTGATTTATGGATAAATGTACGCGGCTTCAACATTCAAAGGGTTAAACGACAGTCCAACAAGCGTTCGACATTTTTACAATGTGGAAGTTTATGATACGGCGAAACGAATTGTCGTGGAGGTACATTTAACAGCTGCGTTTAATTATAGGCACCAACGATAAAACGGCAACAGATAGCTAGTAACGATGCTTACGAGCCACCAGCAGCCATCCAAAACGCGATGCTGACGAAAGATAAGAAGCCGTTCACGTACACACCAGGAATGGGTGGCAAGCTGGATCTATCTCAGATTCGAAGTCCACGAATGGCACGCAGAGTGGCGAAGAACGCAAACGACGAAGGTATCGAAGGTCCGCCGAAGTCAGCACTCGAACCGAAGCCGACACCAGCGCCAAATACCGGGGCGAATTTGTTCGTTCAGCCCCAAGTAGCGATCCCTGTCTTCCCGACTAATATTCCAATCCAACCACCGATCAACAGGACACCGCCGACGCCTCCTGCGAACAAGACTCCCCCTACGCTTCCCGCGAATAAGACTCCCCCTATCAGTAAGTAAAATCAAGGCAAAAACCTTTTAACTTGGGATATTCAAAATATCTAATTCGAAAAACATTTTAACCAGCTCCAGAGAAACAAGCAGAGCCAATAAAAGTCGTGACCAAAGTAGATACCAAAGCTACACCGAACGCGGCGACCACCACTCAACCGAGTTCACCCGAAAGTCCTAGCACGCCGACCCAAGTGACCCTGACTAAAGCACCGACACCTTGGCTCCAGAATAAGAACAAACCGCAGGAAGAATTGCCCGAGTGGGCGAAACGTTCGAGCGTGAATAAGCAGAGCTCGTCGCCCGAGAGTCCGACGTCACCGCCGGTATACGCGTCGGTTCAACAAACACAGCCCCAGCAGCAGCCAGTGCAGTGGCAACAAACTCAGCAGAAACAGCAGCCGATTCAGCAAAGGCCGCAGCAGCAGCACCAACAGCCTCAACAATTTAATCAGCAGCAACAGAAACGTCCGTATTCTAGTCCTCCACTAACGCAACAGACCAGTCCGCAAGCAAATTTGCAGGAACGAGTGATACCTATCCGCGTAAGTTTATTGTTGATTAATTTAGTAATTAGACAGAATTGTTTTTTATCATTTCTTCCACTGTGAATGTTCAGATCGAGGATAGACCATCCGTGTTCGACGTGAAACATGAATCGGGTCACCATCAGTTCAAGCAACCCACTCCACATCATCAGCAACGATGGGGTGGTCCTGTTCAAAACCAATTTCAGAATCAAGTGCAATCACCTCAGCCTCAACCATCCTCAGGTGGTACCTTCATCATACCTATGATGGTGGAAGGCAGCGAGAGGAAGCCTGTTGGAGGACCTGTCTCGAACACCTCCTACCCGCAACCAATAGTCAGGAATAACACACCGAATATTGAGAATCAGACTGTGAAAGTGTAAGTTGTTCTTAGAGGAAAGTGTGGACAAATTGTTTTACTCTTTTGGTTGATTTTTAACAGGATACCGCAACGTGGTCCAGTACAGATTCAACAACCAGATTCCGGTCCAGTTCAGTCTCGGTCGTTCCGTGTTCTCCAGAAGATCACTGACACGGACTCGAATGATGTGGACACAGAACAAGTTCGCAAGCTCCAGCTGTCCGATGATGATAGAATTTTGATGAATAAATTCAAAGAACAAGGTATGATATTTCAGAAAATAAAGTATTTTGTTATTAAACTCATCTTATCATTTTTGTACCCTCTTCAGTCGACAATGAATCTTCTCTTCATAACGAGGAGGATCCTAGATATCGCGGAGCGGCGATACCCTCTCGTGCTTTCCGCTTCCTGCAAACTATGACGGATTCCGGTGATGCCGCTGTTATGAACACTGGTAAATCTTGCTGTAACATATTGTTGCAAGCACTTGAGAAAGAAATAAGGAGAAGCGTAGGTCCGTAAATTCTTACCAGTTACAATTAATGTCTCTGTTGCAGCACCACGAGCACAGTCCGCCATAAACAAGAAGCAGAACAGGAACTCAAAGACTTTTGGTAAGCATTCTTTCCCTATAATGTACCATAAAAGTTGCAGAAATAAAGAATTTCCATGATTTGTGTAGAAGAAACTCAAGCAAACCTACCACCGAGCGAGCAACAAGTACCGGAGCCAAAGAAATACATGGGCAGCGCGATTCCCTCGAGATCCTTCAGGATATTGCAAGCCATGACGGCACCGGAAAGCGTCGGTGAGTATCGATGAGCGAGACATAAGCTCACCGTGGAATCCTCGAGATCTCGTACGATCTCTTCAGCGTATACACACGTCATCATTCATGCAGGAACACGCTACTCGTTCATAAGATTAATCGCAAGAAGCTTCTATTCACCTTTTGTACATTAATGTTCAGTGACAAGCGTCTTACATTCTAATGAATGATTATTAAACCGAAGTAATCAGAATTTATTGCGTGCCGTCGCTGGATACATTCCCGAATCCTGTGTTCACAGGAATAACGAAAATTCCTCGATATCCTGATAATTTATCAACGTGTCGAAATTTTTCTCCTCTTCAAAATCAATCACACTTGAATCGAAACGAACGATCATGAAAATTGTCCGAACAATTGGACGATACTGCATGGTAGGTGAATCATTGATCTATTTTCATCGATTAAATGGTAATCGTAGTACAGTCCCTTTGATTATCTATTTGTTATCGATACGAATGACTTGATACATTAGAGAGCAACGTCGTTTATACATAGTTGATAGAAATTAATAAGAAAGTATGGCAAGCTATGGACTGGGTACTTTAACGGGAATGTTGCATGTTCTATTAATTGATTTCACGTGTTACTTCTCGCTGGGATTTATTGTAATTACAAGTGATCACTTGCATGTATCCGGACACGAATATTTTGGACTCTGATACTGGAGATCGTCGAGACGAGACTTCGAGCTTTCTCATCTATCTTGATAAAATATACCCTGTACAATTATTGCCTTATATTACCTAGCCAATGTACTTGTGACCTTACTAACAATAAATTACTGATTCTGAGACATTTCAAACATTTGTCATTTTTAAACAAATATAACTTCCTCTATCCCTATGTTATCAAAGATTTATTGCTGTAAATAAATTACCTTCCATCCTAGATGTTCCTTCTCTAATTGTCACGCACAGGTGTATTTTCAAGATAGATTAAAGAAAAGATCGCAATCACGATAAGAAATAAACGAATGATTCCTCCGTCCAGAATATTACGAGCATGTTTTCCTTCTCGAACGTAATCGTCGCTTATTACTCGAAGGAACGCCGTATTCGAGTCGACTTGATCGACGAGCTGGTTTTGCGTTCACGAAATTTTCGATGATTTCCTTTGAACACAGGATCACACGTTTTCTTTCTCGTAGCCGACCGAACACGCGTCAGATGCTTATCCTTGCCCTCACTCAGACGCTCCGATTTCGTGCCACCTCGCTTATCCGTCGATTTTGTCGACAATTAAAGGAAGATCGTTCGCGTTTAGACATTTGCGAATCAAAAAACATGTTACACGTGATCAAACAAATCCATTGAAATTCCTTATTTATCACTTAAGAATTGTTTAAAGAGTTTCTTGTTTGATCGAGAATTCTGGTATACATGTTTCTCGAAGAATGACATTTCTTATCTTATCCGGAGCTAGCTTGTCTGATACCACCTCAAATTATCGACTTACTTTCTCTGTAGCATAATAAAAATGTATTTTTACAAATTTCTAAAGCGAAGAAGCAAATGTCTATCGTGCGTTCTTCTATCGCGAGAGGCGAGGAGTGGACAAAAGTGTCGGAGAGAACATCTAGACCGAAAAGGGAGAAACGCAAGACCACACCACACCCCAAATAGGAACAGTTGAACTTCTTTGTCTGAATGCATTGTGCTGTTTGTTGTAGCCACGCAAGAAAATCGTCAAGCAGATTACACCTGCCAAACAGAGAATAACGTGCCGGGCAATCAGCAGGGGGGTTTGTACCTTCCTCCTTGTCCCCCGCCATTTTGGTCCCCGGACAATGGTTGGTGGGGTTACTATCCTCTCCCTTATCCAGCTGTCGCCAACGAATCATTTCCTTATCATTCAGACAACACAGCTTACGTATACTTTCCCATTTACAATCAAAATTATCCGGGCTATTATGACTCTGTCAATGCCGCGAAGAACGGGTACCCTAGTGTTTACGCGTCCTACGTGGTACCTGTGTCTCCACCGACCAACAACTGTAATCTCAATTACGAGCAAGTTGGTAACGGTGTAGCGGTACCTAAAATTGATCCACAATTGAATATTCCTGATAACGAGACTCACGAAGGAGCAATTTCAAAGGACACCGATGACCTAAGGGGTCCGCCTCAGTGGGACGAGAAGCACGTGTCTAGAAGCCCGAGTAGCAATAGCAAGGACAGCGACTGCACCACAGCTATGAACATCACCGACGAAGAAGAGATTCCTGAAGTTATGGTTGTTTCAGAACCAGATGCAAATCAATCTGATCGTTCAGAGAAAGCTTGCACCAATGGTAGTTTGAACGTCAGTGTACCTAACTACACCTACATCGACACCAGCGATTCCAGTGACACCAGTGACTCGCAGTCCGACAACGAATCCATTGTAGAGTCTACCAAAAGCAGTAGCGATAATAATGCTAATGACACGTCCTCGGATAGCGATGATTCTGACTCTTATCTGGCCTACTCGACCGGACTGAATCCCCATGGCAGGTTCGATGATAACAAGAACCCGACGAACTGCCCTGACAAAGAATGTAATACTCATGTTCAGAAAGTTGAGTCCAGGAACAACACTGATTGCGACTCTGATGATGGACAGCTTGAAGGACACCTTGAAGAAACTGGTACCAACGCGTTTCCTCATAAACTGAGTGTGATCTATGAGGATGTGGAACGACCTGATTCGGTGAGTCCTCGGCCTCCGGAGGGTATAACACCTTTCGAGGCCACGGATGACCCTCCTGACGAAGCTGACACCACGACAGTGAGTGTCAGTCTACCGTTGAGGTTCAAGTTCTCAGTCTCGGAGAATAACGAGGATGTGACTACAGTAATTGTTGGAGACAGCATGATCAAGCCTGAGAGGCCCTGCAAGGACGAAGGTCGTAGTTCGAAGACCCAGGAACACAAGAATCATACAGATAAAATTAATGAGGTTTCGGCAAATTTTCTGGTGAACAATGACACTAGTGCGGATTTCACTGTTAAAAGGGATAGTTCCGAGAGCAAACGAAGAGCGAAGAGTAATATGAATGAAAGGACGAATGGGAATAAGGTGGAAAAAAACGATGACCCTGTGGTGCCTCACGTGAACTTCACCTTGAGGAAGATTCCGACGAGGTTTAATAGAATTAACTGCGAGGAGACAGTGGAGACAGAGTTCACAATCAAACCTAAGAAAGCATCCTTGAAGAAAGAAGAAGATAGATCTAACAAGGAACGGAAAGAACGAGTAAATAACACGAACAATGATGAGGAACCTTCGAACAAGGAAGACAATCCTTCTTATATCGAAGAAACCAATCGAGAGACTCACGATTTCAACAGGAATATCTTGAAACCGGAAGTGATAGTCTCCGAGTGCAATTGGACTGAAGATCCCAGTAAAGAAACTATCAACTCTCAAAGTACAAATCTGGACATTGAACAGAACGAAGTTCGTACAGAAGACAATTCTAATGTTCCAGATAGTCATAAGAACGAAGAGGATGTAGAAGAGAAGGGTAAAGAAGTGAAGCACCTCCTGAGCGTACAGAACTCTAGAGAGGAGACCGACGACGAGGACAGTGGCGTCACTTCGGATATGAGTCGCATGATCTCTGAAGTGGACACCGATTCAGAATGCACCTCCTCCAGGAACATAAGAAAATACCAGAGGACTCAAACGCATTCAAGGCTCTTTAGACTTTTAAACGACGACTCGATCCTTCCGGAGGGTACAGAGAAGAGCAACGACACACCTTGCAGAAGAAAGTACCTGAGCCTGCCTCTGAACAACACCTTCAACTATGACGAGAACTACTGTTCCAACTATTCCAGTGGCATCACTTCGCCAGAATACTCGCCCGTCTGCGAGCAATCCTGGCGAAGGCTCCACGATACAGAAAACTCCAGGGTACCAGATCAAAATGGTCATGGTCATCCTTTGACTCGACAGGAACGCGTCTCTTGCAAGGAGGACCCTTACTATCAGGCCTGGAAGACGTCCAAGACACCCATAAACTCTGACCACTCTGACGTGATGCCGTCGTTGGCCTTCAAAGTCCTCGAAAGCAGGAGACCATTGTGGTCTTATAGGGTGAATGTACTATGTCCACGGATCAAAAGCACCAAGAGCGTACCCCAGGTGTTACGAACGAATAACGCGACCGATAACCCTCTACCTTCGAATCCATCCCCATACGTGAACCTAAAATCCGACCATTGCTGATGGCCCGGGGCAGAATGAGGCCGCGTTTGGCCGCGAGCAACCGGTCCACGGACGAGCCTCGCGCAACTTTTCTCTAGATTCGCAAGACTGGGCTGACTATGCCCGGGAGGCTACAGGCTACGTGGTTTTTTTTTCTATCGGTACATATCGTTTCCATATATTCATCTGTTCGCACTTTATTTTCTTTTTATATATATATATATATATTTTTTTTTTCTGGTTCATTATCATTTCTTCTCTTTACTTTTTGTTTACTTTTTTTCTACTTCTACTTCTTTTCTTCTTTCTCTCTGAGGGTAGTGTACACTTGAAAGGAAAATTCGCAAAAGAAGCTATCGAGAGTATTTCTTGCGCAATTTTTCACTCTCATTTGCACCCATACCTTCACACTTCTTAATTTTCTTCGTGTCTTTTGTTTGCGTCGCTCTGAACGGGGCACCGATCACGTGAGATCATTTTTCTTGATTTTTTTTTTCTCATTTGAATATCTACACCGCGAATGTGTCGATCCTGTCAGCCATGACTCGAAATTCTATATTTTCTTCTCTTTTTTTTTTTGTTTTCTTTCTTTCTTGTGCCTTTGCTGAGGTTTGTTACTAACCAGCGTCCGACGTCGAACCGACGAGACACGAGTTTGTGTTCCTTCCTGAACCAATTAACGCTTGATGTGTTTTGTTCGAAATCGATCCCTTTTCTTCTCCACCATTCGCCGGTAACAAGACCAACGAAAGGGTTTTTTTAACGGGTATTTCATTTCAGGAGTAAGAAATTCGAAGCGAAGGATATATGTGACCCAAGTTGCTCAAATCTCAGCGTTTGCAGTGTGGTTTTACGTTGCTACTCGTTTCCTAATTAAAATTTATTATCAACGAACAGATTAGCTCATCAAGTATGCATGCTTTATTTACGAGACGATTAATCAACATTTTATTGTTATTTACAGCAACCATATGAATATTGTTATGCGTTTCTGCATGTACAATGCATTTGCACTAATGTTTCATTTATTGCCAGTTCAACAGTAAATCGTGGTTCACTATCAAATAAATAGTTATATTGTTAATTAAATACACGATAATTATTTTTTGTTGAAGAATGAGATTGCTCGTTAGAGAAGTTGTAGCGTAGCAGAATTTAAGCGTCTTGACATGCTCGCCAGTATTTTATTGTAATACGTAGGAGCACAATTTTTCTTTTTTTTTTCCTTTCACGAGAATTATACAATCTGTATGTTAATGGACGTTAACAAAATTGTTTCTTTCGATTTTCAGGTCCCGATGCAACGGATTACTGAGCGAACACGGGTACCTCCTTAAGAAACATGGCGTTGCTAGTGTGTTTTCTTCTCTTTCTTCCTTTTTCTTTTCGTTTATTTTTTATTTTGTTTACGACCGCGATCCGTAGAAAATCCTTCTCGTTAACCGATCGTATTTGTCGCCCCGATAGGTTTCACCCTTTCTTCTTCTTCTATACCCTCTTCTTTTATTTCTCTTTTCTTCATTACTCCATTCTAACGATCCCACGGTGTGTGCACATTTGTAAAAGGATGAAAATCGTTAAAGTTCGAAGCTCTGATTCGTTCGAGAAGAATAGAATCGATGTGAAATAATCGATTGAAAATACGTGTACTTTTATCGATACTGTCTCACGTTACCTCGATCTGTCATTGTGCTATTTATGTAAGTTGTGTACAATAAATTATTTGTAAAGTTCGTCGTAATCTTCATTTTCCGTCGAGCTTTCGTCATCTCTGCATTTCTTTTTTTTTTTCTTTAGAAAATTATATTAAAATTCACCAAGGTAAGCATCTGTACGTGTATGGAAGGGAATAACAATTTCAATGTTTTATTTATAAAATACACTTTCTATATAAGGAATAGAATTTCAAAGGCTGATGTAAGTTCGCTTCTTGTGCATAATGTATGCAATGATAGTCCACAATGCAACTCCCCAAATCGCCTCGCATAAACGTAGACCTCGACTGTTCATGCTTCCGATGCTCCAATGGAAAGGGAAATTTTGATAACATGTCATGTGGCCAACATACAGCAACAAACCGTTCATACCTATCAAATAAACATTAGATTTTCATTAGTTTCCACCTTTCTTCTCGAGAACTTAAAAATTTTTGTATTCGCCGAAGAATATCTGTCTCTTTTAATTCGACATCTGTAGCAACAAGGAGGGTCAGTACTATAAATGTCTCATAAATATTTGTCTCGACGTGAAATCTGTTCAGCGATCGCGTTGCGCAAGCTCTGTGTGAAAGTTTTACATACCAGGGATTCGGAAAGGGCCTCCTTTCCACACCTTAAGCACGTCCACGAGCAAATAACAGGCGGAGAGGAAAGCGAGAGCGAAGGATGTCGTTACGAACACGAACGACAGCGACCTGTGCAATGTAAAAATAAAACCAGTCGATAAGTAACCAAGGAATATCCTTTTCTGGAATGACGCACCATAACTTTTTATTGACGGGAATCACGTTGGTGAAGTGGAGAGCGCATCCGATGCAGCCGAAAAGCGCAGCCCACGCCAACCATCTCACAACACGTTCTTTCCAGTCTTTGTAAGACATCATAATTATGCCAGCATGTAGACCGAGGAAAACGTGGAACGTCGATGTAAGACAACCTTGACAAATTTTTGTATACAATTGTAACAGTTCCATTTTCTTATTATCAAGAATAACATACCCAAAATCCCTTCTGGATCAAATGGTCCCGACTGATAAACAGTCATCGAATGATGCAAATGTTGTTCCTTGAGTACCAATCTATCGATATAACCGGCTGCTCCTCCAACGCAGTCAAAATATTTTGCATCATCGTGAAGACCACCAGGACCCAGATATCCACTATCAACACACCCTTTAACGATTCTGTTGCTACGTAAAAATTATTCATCGAATTATACGTACATACGTGGGACAGCCAGGAACAGGTAAGCAAAATGTGACGATGCAATGAACAGCCACGATGACTGCCATCACACAGCACTGAGGTAGTAAGAGGAAAAAATCTTGCACATCTCGTAACATCGGAGACTACGAAGAAATAATGAATATAGTATCGATTCATGAAAAATTCGAGAGCTTAACTGTACCTTTGTTGGTCTTTTGAGCATCAAGAAAAGGTATGTCAGAGAAACCATAAAGTAAGTTACACCGAAACGTTGAAGAACACCGAATATCCGGATGTTTTCTAGCTGAGGACCGATGCTCACCGTGTTTAGGGATACTCCGATTAAGAACAGGAGAATACTTCTCTGTTGGAAATATCAAATGACAGTAGAAAACGCTATAATTGCAGTAATTTGATAAATTACCTTAACGATACCGTATAGTATGACATGTTTCGGCACCATTCGCTTTAACTGACTGCCCAACGCTATGGGGATGCATACCCCCATGATCCATATAAAACAAGGGAACACTAAATCCCCTAAGAGTAAGCCATTCCAAGTGGCATGGCCCAAAGTTCTATAACCACCGGATCCATCGTTAACGAATATCATTAATAGAGTGCTAGCCCTAAAACATTGATTTTTATTATGTTTAATATCATCGTTTCGAACATGTGAGTGGATTTTCATGGATCGTACCCCCGAACAGTGTCGATTGCTTTCACTCGACGTTTCACAGGTTGCCTCATCGCAGTATCGTCCACCTGACGTCGCGTACATTTCTTTCTGCAAGCGTGCCATAGTGACTTCAAACCGGACAGGCCAAACAGAAAGAGCACCAGAACTCCCAAAATAACGAAAAATTCTGAAAAAAATTACACTTGGATAAAAAGGTATATCTCAATTTAAATCAAAACCGAGACACGATCTTCGAATCCTGATAAAATTAATTAAAAAACTGAGATTGCTCAAGATACTCGTTATCAATATCTCTGGTAAACATAGCTGGAATTATTAACCTGTGAACCGACTGTACGATGAAAATGGAAAACAAATAATGGTTATCTATTGTTATTTTTTAAAATCCACCAGACCTCACCTGTATAAGGAGAAGTTGGTTCGTTCAAAACCTTTATATCGCAACTTCGATTTTGGACCGTCAACTCGTATATACCGAATTGTCCCAAATTCGGTGTTAACTCACAGATCACGTTACTGAAACGTGGAAACACGCGAATGTTAAACAATACCAAACTGTAAAATTCCTCTCTTTGTCAATAAGATGTACCTCGTATTTTTAGCAGTTACGAATTCATCAGGATCTACGGCATCGAATATCCTAAACGTTGTAGGTCTGACTGTATCGATTATTACACTGGAGGTAGAATTCGCTATAATTTGCTTGATTCTGGTATACGGACACTGCAACATATGCATTAATCAATTTTACTCTTGTCGTTTGATTTAATGACTGATAATTACGAATTGATCGCTGAAACTCGATAAATGAGTTACAAGTGTTTCTAATTATGTAAATAAGAAAATTCCTTATTTAAAAATTAAAATATCTTGTTACACACGATCGTATTCACTGCAGGATTCATGTTAATACACGGACGTATCTGCGATTAACGAATTTAAGTAACTTGATGGATAGAAAAGTAAAGGTATGCGAAACACGTGACAAAGTATAAGTGCAAAAAGCGTATCCTTGTATGACTTACCAGGGCGCAATCGGTCGAGAGCAAATAGAGCCAGACGTTGGAATCTTCGTGGTCGGTTCGTAGATTGATACAAGCTTCATCGTACTTGAGGGTCTCGCGATCGCAGAACCACTCGTCCATCGTCTCTGCTGCAAGCAAAGTGAACGCAAGAAGCAAAAAACAAGAAGCGGTTAGGTGGCACGCTTCGAAAGTCGCGCGAGGAATCGTGACACCGCTCCGCGCCTCGCCGCGTCGCTGAGAAACTCAACAGGCATCCGTAATCTCAGAGAAATGTTTATATCGAACCGTGTGCAACGAACAGAGAGAAAGTAGAACGCTCAAAATTGAATTTATGCTAAATGCATCTTCACTTCGTGGAACATTGCAATAAGAAATGTTTCCTTTCTAACGGAGTCGTTCATTTACGAACCTTTTTTAATTATTTCGATATTTGAAACACCAATTTTGTAAATAAATTGATCATCGATGTCGGGTTAAAATGGCATATTTTAGAGTTCATAATTTGATCACGAAAACATTTTGCGAGGCTTGAGTCCAATCCTACCTTCTCTCAGGAGAACACCGCACACTGTCCTTCATCTAATGTTGCATCGCGCATTACAACGAAGCAAACATCCTATCGTATCAAGGTCTTCCAAGGTCAACGAGTAAAAAAACACACTAAAAATATATATCATTGAAATTGACAAGAAAATGTTGGATCCGCGTCTACACAAACATAATACTGTGACTGTCACAACAGAAATAGTCAGTTTAATGATATTCGGAATTTTCGTTCCTCCTGCATGTTTTACAAGTATGCACCTCAACGATGGGTGCAAGAAACAGAAAAGAAATGGAACAATCGTCACGGTACAAAAAGCAAAGAACAATCGTCGTTTTTCCAGAAGATGGTACCTAGTGTTTCGCGTTCCTCGAACTCTCGGACGACTTTTCGCGATGACCACGTGAACGTTTCGTCGACGATCACGATCTAACGGTGTTTGCTTGATCGCGCGGGATCAAATATTGTTCGGCACCGTTTAATCGACACCGCGACCGACAGATACGAATGCGTCAAGTGGCACGAACAGCTTTTTAGTATCGCGTACACGAGAACAGCCGGCTAACCGAGTCAACGCGGAATCACGTGGGTGCATCGACTGACATTTCACCTGGCATTCAACAGGAATTTTTTTACCTGTCCACTAAGCGGACAGCCTCCGAGAAATCGGAATTACGCTATCGCGCGAGCTTTGAATTCGTGTTCCGTTAATTAAAACTTGGGTTGTTTACATTATCAACAATTAAACACTACTTTTAATTGCTATATCGTGTCCCAACTCTGTTAAACTTACTTTCACAGCAAATCAATCGCTTCGCTCCAGTATGTCAGCCAAGAAGCGGTTGGCGGCCTAGTATTAATATGTATTGCAGTAGACTCTCGTTATATTGCCGTGGTAGGGGTAAACATTTTTCAAGCTTCCAAACTCTAATTAACTAATCATTTACAATTTCTACTATTATCATTACACTGTAAATCGTACGATCTCTTCAAAATCACAGTTAATTGGAGCGAAGCTCCGCTATTAAACGATTGATCAGGATTTTTGTGACTTTTTAACTCAAAATCTAGATTATCAATTTTGACCATTCTTTGCAAGCCGATAACAGTGCTCACTGTGAGTGTTTATATAGAATAAAATCAGAGATCGGTGGTGTCCTTGAGGCAAGCATCGATGCCGAACTCTGTATTCCGCATCGGTAAAACAGCCCATGTTTGATCGACAGAAACTGATTCAAGCGCCTCCTTAGTTATTGCATCCAACTAACGGCATACTATACTACGTCACCTTTCGCATACACCTAAATGACACGTGTATGCTACGATAGCTATATGTATAAGTACATAATTAAACAATACTGACCATGCATTCATTATTATTAATTTTCTTTCCGCAAAATTGTATTTGCAATGTGATACGCTTCAGAATCTCAAAGGCATAGTTCCTGAAAGAAATATAATAGCGATTAAATAGAAAAAAAAGCATTTTCGCAGCCAATTTGCTCGTATTATTTGCTGCATAATTAATAAAAGTACTATAGAAATAATGATACAGTTATTAATTAGTCATCAAATAATAACGATTGCCCAGGTCTCACCACGGGGAGGTTGCTGCGGGTGGAGACCCGCCCTACCTCGTCCCATCCACCCTCCATTTATGCAAATTTTTACTTGTGTTAAATAGCATCATCCTCTTGATGCACATTTGCAAAACGTTTTTGACTGTTATGCAAACGAACAACAAAAGGAGCATTGTTTTTATTCAGGTAGGTACCTATCTACTTATCTATACATATGTATATCTACGTACATTTTTGCTTTTTATACATATCGCAACATTTTTTAATTTTGATTTTGATTACAGATCTGTAATTAATAAATATGCAATTACATATTTGTCCTACATACTTATATTACTAAGAATACCTGTCTATACGAGCGCTCGTAATTATATTAAAAATTCGCTTAAATCTAACGCTTATTAATTAAACACTGCAGTGTTTGACGATTATATCTTCATGACCATATATATAAATAAGTCCAATGAATTTGTTGATTTTGTTGTCCTCACCAGAATACTTCCTGAAATAAAACTGAAAAGGATTAAACATAATTTAAGAAAATAATAAGGCTCATGTGGCCTTAATCATAAATTTACAACCTGCCTAAAACAAACAGAAAAGAATTAAATACAATTTTCGAAAATAGTACGGTTCAAATATTACCACTTATAAGAATCACTTTTCCTTTTCAATCATTTTCACCTTGGTTTACTTAATTGGATACATGGAATTCCATTTATGGGCGCTAGATTTTATATTACATTTCTTCCAATCAATTATCCGATATTATTATTTCATACTTCCTATAAAGATATTTCTCTGTAACAGAAACTGATTAATTGAATCCAGATAAAGACAAAGAAAAATTAATAGCTGGAAAGAAGATACATTAGTAATAATAAAATTTTATAAAAGTCAGAGTGGTTGTTAATAACTCAAAATCAATTTGATACGAAATATGAATTTAAAGCAAACTTCAGTACCAAAATAAAGAGAAAAAAATTCAGAAAAATATATATTTGAGTTAAGTGATTTGAGTTAGGAACATTAATTATTTCATTTTATTGTATTTAATATTCGTTCATTTCGCGACAAATAGCACACAATATTTTAATTGAAACAACTGTCTTTTACTGCAATATATAGTACGTACAACCACGATTCTACTCGACTTTATTGCATTATATTATTCAATACACCTTTCAGTGCAAATTTATTGTAAATGGAAAACTGGAAAGAAAATCACGAGTGGACTCTGCTTTTGAGGAAAAGAATTTGAAAATTTATAAAAGTAATTTAATTAGCTTCTCCGTAAGCTTGAAACAAAACATCGCGATTAAAAATTAAAACTGAACAACCTTAACAACGATCATCCACTACTTTTGTTTAAACAAAGTACAATTAAAATTAAATAAGCAATTTCAAATGAACAAATATTCCTTGAAATAATTTATCACCAATCATCACAAAATAAAATGAACTTTCATTTTAAATAAAACTTTGAATAAAGTTCTATTTAAAACTTTATCGTATTTAATAATATTCTGAAAACATTAAATTCATATATTATTTAACAGTATTTCCAACAACCGAATGCTCAAAATTTTCAAAATTGAAAAAAGGGAAGAAAAAAGAATGAGGGCATAGCAGTGGGAGTGAGGGTACAGGGGAAGCTGAAAAGAAAAGTTTGACTGCCCATAAGAGCAATCCCAAAGCAAATCCTATAAAAGAAACCGAAATCACACGCAACACTAATTTTAAAATTGCAAACATTCTGAACTATGACAAAACATCGGCTGGCAACGAAGGGTCTCACGCCCCCTAGACTTACGCCAGACGCTACATACCACCCACCCCGCCTGGACGTCGTAACGCCAGGACAGAGTGCACCCCTTCGCTAAGAGCGCTACCCGCCCGTCCAACACGTTGCATCCAACGGTGTCAGATTTGCGGACGCCCATAGTATAGACAAAAGGACTACAGTTTAGAATATGGTAACATATTTTCATATGTTCCGTATTCTAAAGCTGCGCCTGCAAAGGCCTAGTAATGCATGGGTATATCTCCCAGAGATGGTGTTCACGGTCTTAGGCCGCGGAATCCTTGACTAGCAATGGATTCCCACCGAATGTGAGTCATAGTTACTTCCACTAACTTAATAAATGCAAAAAAGTAAAAAATTTAATAATAATCGCGAATTCATTCGCAACACTAATTTCATTAATTATATAATATGTACAAAAGCGTACGCGTGAAGGCTGCTCCATTATGCGCAACACTGAGCTGAAAAAAAGAAAAAACGCGAACTGTAACGCAACACTACTCAAATCTACCGAATTTTGTAAGACGCAACACTAATCTAAAAAAGGGGTACAGCCAATCCAAGGCTGTACCACGGCAGCTGGTCCATAGCTGCCTTATGGACCATGGCAACTCCACTGGATCGTTTTTGGGCATTTCATCATATATCGCAACTCTAATGCAAAACGCGAATATTCATTACCGCAACACTAATTAGCAGGGAACTCTATAAACTAATGCAAAGCAATCGCGCATTTATAAGTCGCAACACTGGGAAACAACCTCGCTAATGTCATTCGCAACGCTATCTTTAACAGACATGCAATTAAAATGCAAAAAAAGGGGATTCTCAAACCGTGAATCTTTTACTCGCAACACTAAAGCAATGAACATTAAAAAGCAAAATTGAAAAATCCTAAAGCAATCAACATTAAAAAGTTAAATTCTATTTTAAAGCAATGCAAGAAAGAAACGCGATATTTAAAGTTCGCAACACTAAATGAAAATCGCGATAATCATGCATACGCAACATTAAATTGAACCGTGATCGATATTCATTCGCAATACTAAATTGAACCGTGGTCAATATTCGCAACACTAAATTGAAAACGCGATTTGCCCAAAATGATGGGGGTCACGGGCCCCCTCTTCTCCTGCAATTACAAAACTACAACTACAAGCGAGCACAGTGACAAAGTAGTAACGATAATGATTTCCCATCCTTTTTTGCAAAAGGATGCAAAATCATTAGTAGTTCCCCTCTTGAAAGACAGTTTGTCGGGGCGCTTCGGCATATAGCCTTTTCTTTCTTCGAGCGGTCCACCCACCTGAAACTTATATCTAAAGCTCGAGACTTGCAAATTCGCAAAACAAAAAAAAACAATCAACAAAAAAGAAAAATCGCGAAACTCTAATTGACACGTGGACGAAAAAGGACTTTATATAAGTCGTTGTTCGTGCACACGTGCCGTGCTCGAGCAGAACTTTTGCGTTTCGTACCATCGCGATCGCGTATGACGACTTATGAAGTCGCCAAAAATTTGAAAAATTGTACAGATAGATTCGAAGGCGAACGGCATACTCCGTTCGTATCGATCGTATCATCAATTCTTCAAATATATTCCAGGTACAGGTTGATCACGCGAAATCGCGCCTACCCGACCAAGAGACTGTGACAACCTGTCCCGGCCCTACCTACTTACAATCTATCACACACACCAGAAGGTATACTACCTACCTACCTAACGCTATATTTAAAAAAGGCAAAATCACATTCTCACAAAAATTCATTCCACGACTCCCATACACTCCACCCGGGCGCAAAAACCTACACTAGGGAGAACGTCCCGGAACGCCTCCGACACCCGAGTTTCATCTCACATCACACTCTACGGTACGTACCATTTTTCACTGAAATCGTCTGGCAAGGCTAGCAATCATTGCGTATAATGATAATTACAAAATTTAATTAACTACTTTCATATAGAATATTTCATAATAATGGTAATAATCATGATAATAGTAATGGCAATATAGTAATAGTAATGGTAATAATACTATTTGGTTTGTACATTCATTGTGCATCTTATTGAATAAAATATTATTTCAAATTAAAAGTTAAATGAAGAAGTTATTAAACCGACGCAATCCCACAGCCTAAAAACACACACACCATATGTGGAAACTACGTCGTGCACGATATACTAACACAATGCCAGCCGCTTATTAATTATTATTCTTATGAACTAGGTCATCGTGCCCGTTGCCTCTACCCATCCAAGTAGCACCTGGGCACGTGAATGGGCTTTGGCAACAAACACGGAAGGGGTTAAACCTGAAAATCCTGACCTAGAAACATGATTAGTACATAAACATCTAACGGGCTAATATTTCACTATTTTAATAAAAGTGACTCGACTTTGTAAATATAAAGCTTTAAGAACAAATACTGAAAAGCAAAATAGAGCAACTATGACGCAAACATGGTGCACTGCTAATATCAGCTGGCAACGAAGGGTCTCACGCCTCCTAGACTTGCGCCAGACGCTACATACCACCCACCCCGCCTGGACGTCGTAACGCCAGGACAGAGTGCACCCCTTCGCTAAGAGCGCTACCCGCCCGTCCAACACGTTGCATCCAACGGTGTCAGATTTGCGGACGCCCATAGTATAGACAAAAGGACTACAGTTTAAAATATGGTAACATATTTTCATATGTTCCGTATTCTAAAGCTGCGCCTGCAAAGGCCTAGTAATGCATGGGTATATCTCCCAGAGATGGTGTTCACGGTCTTATGCCGCGGAATCCTTGTAACTAATTTGATTAATTAAATAATACATAGGATTGAGATTAAAAACCAAAAGGATTCCCACCGAATACTAGTCAATGCATCGTCATATTTACTCCCGCGCTGGAAATTTTTCGCAACACTAATTTAAGAAATGCAAAATTCTAATAAAAAAGAATTTAATGTCTCTAATTAAGAATTTTTTATAGTGAAAAAAGAATTTATTGTGAAAATTAATAAAACATCCTCGGGCGACTCCCTCCTCAGAGTGAATTTTCAAGAATACGCAAAATGTGTTGAAATAGATCACTCTGACTTGGAAATCTACCCGTCACGAATTGTCTTCTTGCACATAAATTGTTCATTTTTTCATGAACGTGTAAATAAGTTAAACTACTCATAAAAAATTCTCAAATTATATTTGAATTTATAATGTACAAAATGTAATTAAATCAATGTAATAGCATCATTAATATATATATCCAGTATACATATTACATAATACTATCAATATTATATTGCTTTGAACCATTGCAATAACTAAGTCAGATAGTATTTGACTTCTCTATTACAGACAAACTAAATAAAATTGTTTCAGTATTAAAATATTCTAATTCCACATTTAAGAACATTTAAGAACATTTAAGAGCATTCATATATTTCATAAATATCTATTGGAATATGTGGAATTGAAATGATATTAAAACGCGAAGTACAAGAAGACCTAGCCTGAACTAAATGAAATGAAACAATAAAAATGTTACTACTCATGGGTATAATCATACCCATGGTCACTATGCTTGCTAACCACGTATACAACCGGTAACCCGTGTCGATTCGGACCATTCGTCTTACGACATGATTGGGCACCAGAGGAACTATAAAACATGCGACTCACCGTTCGCAGATATACTCTTCTTCCGACAATCAAGTAGGAAGATGGACAACACCAGGTAGGAGGCTGCCTTGTAGGAGAAGAATTACGGTTAATTTTGAAAATTATCAATTTTTATTCTAATAAAATTATATATGAAATTGAATTTTATAAAATATTAGCAATTAAAAAGAAATCTCAATTATCAAGTGATGAAATTGAAAATTATTCTATTTTAATAAAAAGCAATTAAGTGACGTACCAAGACGGAAGTCGTGAAGAAAGCCATCATCGGGATATCCAGGAACTCGGCAAAATAAAAAAATTCATCTGTAACAAAACAAAAAAGAATTACGGTTAATTTTGCAAATTATCAATTTTTATTCTAATAAAATTATATATGAAATTGAATTTTATAAAATATTACCAATAGCAATTGAGAAGAACTCTCAATTATCAAGTGTTGGAATTGTAAATTATTCTATTTGAATTAAAATTAATTAAATAAAGTAATAAGATACTTACACTCTTTCCTCATGGAGCAACGCCCAAGACTCCTCTTCAGTGGTGCACTGACTCTAATACCGGGTATATCGAGCAATTAACAAAAAAAATTAAAAATAAAAATAAAGATATGAAATACTAGTAACGCGACCGTGAATCATTTTCGGTGAACAATTGTAATGACTCTACTTTCACGATGAAAAAGGAAAAAGCAGAGCCGCGATACTCTAGAAAATATTTTATAATACGCAGCAAACACTGACTCTACTTTCGCGTGATTCCTAATTGTACAAACGCAACTCTATTCAGGGCCAGTTCACCCTTGAAAAAATCAAAACATTGGAAATATATTCGTACAAACACTGACTCTACCGACCGCCTTGCGCGCGGCCACAACAATTCCTGGAAAAAAAAATTAGTGAGGAGGTTGGGGATGGGTAGAAATATACAGATAGAAATATATCTTATTGAGCGTTATGTTTAATGGAAATATACTGTTATGTGTAAATGGAAATATCAACGAACACGAATATTATTGAAGTTGAATATTGATCCTAGATTATCTCGTAATAACGAAATGTATTAAATAATTGTTGATAATTATTCCATTGAATATTACAAGGATAAAAAATCATTGTTAAATACATATAATAAACTATTTTATTAAAGCAGTGGATTTTTGTTGTTAAGATTGTAAGCATATTAAAAATTGTTGGAAATTCTATTACGTAGTAAGTTATAAATTATCTAATTCTTTTCAATAAGCAAAATCCAATAATTAAGCATGCTTAAACAGCATGTGATTTAAAAACGTAATTCTATTTTAATTTAAACTTGCATCGAAAACTGGATATTATAATATAATTACTACGATTTAACAACAATAGATTGTATAAAATAATTAATAATTGCAGAAGAGAAGCAATCATTTGCAGTAGAATACGAATTATTTCAATTTTGTTCTAGTTTAAAACAAATGTATTAAAATACTGGACGAAATTATTTAATAAAATGAAAAATTAATTATTCTTTTTCTATGAATTGGTTAAAGAAAAAAAATGTCTCTAATCTTTTCCTTCTTGACTTTGGTAGCAAGTAATTATCAAAAATGCTTACAATTAACAACAACCATAAAAAATAAGTAATAATAAATGTTAATAATTGATTAGAATAAATTAAAACAATAAATTCTTACAAAATTCTATTTCAAACCCATATCATGGCGTCCTTTCAGTATCCATCAAATATCTGTAACAAAAAAGAAATACGAATTTATGTACATAAAATGTAATCAACAATAATAAACGATCGAATTATAATTTATGCAAAATATTTTAATAGATACAATGCTCACTTATTACTTATACGGAAGGATGCTCTCAACACGTCTTGTCACTTCGACGTTCGCGAGAGAAATGGCGAGACCTTCCTTCCCGACGAAGACCGGTCGGCACCGCTTCGGTATTATTCGGTAATGTTCGTCCCCAGCCGAACCGAAGCCGGTAGATGAACAGATCTCATAATATTACGATGCTCAAGAAAGAACGTTATTAAATATCAAATAGTAAATTGTGTGAAACAATATTAAAAACGTTCACTATTGGTTAGGAAATTAACGATACAAAAGGGAAAGTAATTCAAATTCTGCTGTTCCAACCTCATTGTACAATCGCAGCAAGAGCACAAACTTTTAACTCTTGTATTTTTAAAGATAACCTCGAATTAATATCAAAAATCAGGAATCTAGACTTCTCTCCAGCTATTCTTTCTATTTTTTGTACTTTTAACACCCGAAAGACAATTTAATTTAATGTTTGAAGATAATTTAATCTTACCTGTTGCAGACACGTACAAGACGAACAAAGCTTCGAAGAGGAATGCTGTACTGCGTCACAAATCGACGCACTCGCTCTCACAGCGACGTGTCTGATTGGTCGAAATGAGGGGACGCCAACATGGGACGACCAATCACAGCCATCGATAGAAGTTTCAAAGTGCTTCGAAACTTTAATACAAATCGTAAGGGAAAGGTTCGTTAAAAATTATCGACGCCATATTGAAATAAAATCAAGATTACTTTTCTCAACTTTAAACACCAAAATATAAGAAACAAAGTAGAAAAAATATAAGATATTGACAGGATTTAAGAAATTATTCTTATAAAAGCAGAATAAATGAAGGAAATGTTATTTTAATTCGTATCTATATCGGCATAATAGTAAAATTATCACGATATATAACAATAAATTACCGGAAAAATGTACTAAAAACATTAAAAAATGCAATAATATTCGAAAAATTATTGATATAAAGGGAAAATAATTCAGATTCTGTTCTTTCAACTTCATTGTCAATTCACGGCAAGAGCAAAAAATTTCATCTCACGTATTTTTAAAGATAACCTCGAATTAATGTCAAAAAACAAAGAGCTAGACTTCTCTTCGGCTATTCTTTCTCTTTTTTGTATTTTCAACACCCGAAAGACAATTTAATTTAATATTTGAAGATAATTTAATCTTACCTGTTGCAGACACGTGCAAGACGAACGAAGCTTCGAAGAGGAATGCTGTACTGCGTCACAAATCGACGCACTCGCTCACACAGCGACGTGTCTGATTGGTCGAAATGAAAGGATGCCGAATGAAACAACCAATCACAGCCATTGATAGAAGTTTCGAAACTGTAATGTTAATCGTAATGGAATCGTTCATACAATAAATATCAACGATAAAATCGAATAATGTACTTTTTTTAGCAACACCCGTCTTGTATTATATTTTATATTATTGTAATTATGTAATAAATAAAGGGGAATATTGCTTTAATAACACTTTCCTATGTCGTGATTTTGATACGAAATGTTTAAGAACATATTATTTCAGATATAAATTTTGACACTTATGTGCAATATATGCATAAGCGAAATGTTAATATGTACAAAAATTATAATCAATCGATTCGGTCGACGCACACATATTCCCATATACGAGCTGCGAACGAACTGCGCCCTACAGAAAAAACGAGGAACTAAATTTGTGGTCTGTTTTACCCTTTTGACGTCTTTCGCGAGTGAAAATCGTAGCTCTCAAATTTCTTCTACCTGGAGGCTTGTACAGCATCCCTTAGATGCTCATTTTGTTCTATCTGTCCCAAAGAATGTTAGTCTAGTACCCATTTGGACATACGATTCATAAAAATGTTTATATTACGAATAAATTAATGCAGGTGAGTCCGTTCCGCCATTTTCTTGACCGTTGACAGACATAAATTTCAATATTTTATAACTTTTTGACGATTTGAATAATATAAGGACCAGACTAACATTCTTCAGGTCCTCCTGAACACGTCCCTCAATTTTTTTTGCATTCTGTTTTGTAATGACGACGTAATTTGAGAACTCGTTATTAGGGATTTTTCTAGAAACTGTCGGTAAAGTTTTCAACGAAAACATTTTTCTACCACGGTGTCAAACGAAACTCTTTTTAAAAAAAGTTTTTATAACTTTTATCAAGGTATGAACTAAAAAAAGGGACCAACACACATATTTACATACATATACATGATAAGTTATCAATGCATACCCATGCATACCAATACCAATGCGTACTGACCACATGTGTGGTAAGGAACGTATGTTTATACTTATTATATATATATATATATATATATATATACATATTTCTGCTTGATGACTAATGTTTGTTTAAAAATGTAATTAGCATAATATTTGTATTTGTTTTTAAAGAATAACTCAAATTTGTTTCAAAATATAGTTTTATAATATAAATCCTATACATATGTAAATAAAATAAATTTTGTTATCAAATGAATTTAGTATGAAACGTAAATGAAAGATTAAGAATTGAAACAAAGAAAAGATTTTTATAGTTTTCGGTAAATATTTGATTTGATTTTACTTTGTTTATTTTAAGTATAATATAAATGACATGACTAAAGTTAAATCATAAGGTATAACCAGAGGTTAACTGTTTCTGTTGTGAAGGAATCATGAATAATTTGACAGATGCACACTGGTTTCCTTTAACATCTCAAGGAAACATTTATTCCATGACAAAACTGTGTTCTAATAGTGGCTACAATAAAGTGTTAGTGGCCTCTTTAAAAAGAAAAATATACTCTTGTGAATATCATTTAATGCCAAATCTACATTTAAAACCATTGGTTAAGGAGCTACTCTTTACATACATTCCCAGTTTGTAATCTTATATATTACTTTATCATTAAAGAACAAAGTCTTTCATTTTGTAAATAATAATTATTTTTCATTAGGTGGTACAGAAATTATATCCATTGATGCATATAATAAGTCTGACGGTGGTGATGGATTTGTAATAGGAATAACTATTTTAAAAGCAAGTACAGATACATCTGTAGAAAGGTATTTAAATATATATACAGAAGGTGCAATAGATGGAGAAGGAGATGAAGGGAGTTCAATTGAAGCCATAGCTCAAAATTGTCTTACAGTAGAATTACCATATACACCTTATCATTTGTATCATACTATATTACCACAACAGAATTCTCATAGCGAGGTAATTTTTTAGCATAACAGTAACTTTTTAATACCACTTACAAAATAATATTGTTTAAGAAATATTCAAAGAAGTAATATTATTTATTATTATGTAAATTTAAAGTGTTAATATAACATTTCCTAAGATTTTAGGTTGTTTGGTTATTATCTGGTAGTGATTATAAGATTCATATGATCAGAGAAGATAAATTAAATCATGGTTATAGTGAATCATCAATTGAAAAATATTTCCCTGAATTGCATGATATCCAAGGAATTGCAATATGGATTAATATCTACTATTATGATAATTATAATTGGTATGATATTACAGTTATATACAATTATACAAGTTATTGTTATTAATTATATCAAATTATTTAGGAGACTGACTGTAATTGGTTGTGAATGTGGTTTAGTTATAGTAGCTATAGTTAATGTTTTGGAATTGAAAGTCTGTAAAGCTTGGAAATTAAGGTATGATAGACCTATTTCCAGTGTATGTATATTTCCACAACAAAACAATGTCACGAAACCTTCCTTTCTTAATTCTAGAGGTAAATATCACTAAATTAACATACATTTTTAAAGAAATTACAAAATTGATCAATTTTCTTATTTATTGTAGGTCCCAAATGTTCTTTAAGTAATGAAACAAAATTAAATGTTCTTATTGTAAATACAAGTAATGCAGTTGTTTTCATGTAAGTGTATAAAACTTTTACTATATGTATCATTGTATCATTTACTATAAGTATAACTCATTTAAATTTAATTAGGGACATTTTAAATAATGGAATGGATGAGGATATAACATTAAATGGTAGTGAAACATCTGATTGCATTTTATGCTCCTGTACTGCTGATATAAATATGGATGGTCGAAATGAAATTCTCTTAGGAACCTATGGTCAAGAGGTTTTAATATTCTGTTTTATAAATAATACATGGGAACTGATCATTAGAAAATTATTCGATGCACCGGTGCATTCTATATGTTACATGGATATTACCAATGATGGAATGAAAGAACTTATTGTTCTTACACAACGTGGAGTTCATATACTACAGGTTGTAATGCTTGTTTATATTCATTATATTCAGATTAACGTAATTACAATGAAATTATAAATTGCAGCACAATATTATGGACGTAAAGGACAAATGGAAAAAACGATATCGAAAAATGCTTAAAGACAATAGAACATAATTTTAAATGTTGTCAGGGAAGATCTAAATAGATGTTATTATTTAGAATTAATATAAACAAATTTTTGTATATGAAGATTTTATATATATATATATGCATATTGGCATGCATTGTATGTACAGCCTCGATCACGGTCGGCGTCCCTATAGGCAAAATAGCAGTCTAAGCCAGCGAAGAGGAAAGTGTCTCTAGTTTCTACCGTTGAGTATGACACTCGAGCCAGCAGGCATTATGCCTAATTCACAGGAGACACTTTTGTATTCGAGAAAGAACAAAATTTCCTCCAATAAATAATCGCTACAGGGACGATAACTTTCGGTAGACAGATAGGAACACAAAATTCATAAAATACTCCACCCTCGCAGAACAAAAAAGCAATGCGTAAATGCATCCCTTCCTGTTTTGAGGGAAATAATAAGTCAGTTAAATAGTCGCTCCTGGAGAACGCCACCTCACCTGCCCTTACAGGGAAACCATTAGATAGATAAATAGTCGCTAAAGCGAGTCGGTGGTTTGTTAATTAACCAGTAAAATGAATAATGAGCTTGATTCGAAAGTCAATCCTTCTATGTATTCGAGGTTGTTGACATTCTGTCATTTTTTATTAAGAATATTAATGAAGCTGTACATAATTATCTTCATTAAGATTTAAACTTTAAATTTATATACAATAATTGTCATTTTAAATTGATTAATTATAAATAATTATAGGGTTGACGAGGCGAACTTAGAGGAACGATCACTCCAAAAACTGCTAAAAATTAATTGCTTGCACAGAAATGTAATTTGTCCAGAAACAATATTTTATTCAATAATTCTGCGCATTAACAATTCGACAAATGCGCAATTTCGTTGGTTCTTTAGTTAATATCCTTCATGATCCATCGTATCTAGAATTCGCAGAATCAATGACGTAACAGACGGTTCAAAATAGTCTGGCACGTGCTCGAGGTGGAAGGAAGACTGTCATACGTATACGTTTAGGTGGTGCTTACGTTCGAAACAACACTGATGATCAATATATTACATTATATCTTAACTAACGTTATAAAAGGATCCAACAGCTCGTTTTACCCTTTTTTCTATGTGAATTAGAATGACAAGTAAAAAAGGACACACCCTACGAATTGAATCAGAAATCGATAAAAACCGTGAAGAGGGAAATTGGAAGAAGGTTATAGAATTGGCGGAACATCTAAAAACACAATATCCAAGCAATGGTATACAGTGGTTTCATATTAAAACTTTTAACTTATCATTTTTGCATGCTTTAATGTTTTTCATTTTATTAAAATCTTTAAAGAAATTCTGTAAAAATCAAACGTCATATCTGCCTGCTGTTTCATAACCTGCTTATGTAAAAAAGAAAAAAAAAATGATAAGTCATGTCAGAGATTACACGAATAAAGGTCAAATATAATTACTGTCAAATATGTCAATCTTGACTTGGTTAATACACTTTATTATATTTTATTAAATAACTTTAATTTCAGAATGTTTAGCAAATTTTTTATGCGGTGAAGGTAGATTAGAAAGTTTTTTGGAACAAACTCCACCTGTAGATGCAAATATTGGAAAAGCAAGAAATGGACTGGCAGAAACTAGAAGATATTTACTTTTGGCAGCAAATGAAAAAGACAAACAGGTAATCTAATATGCTCTGTTTCAGAAACTTACTTAATTGTTATATTATATTTCAAATTTTAGGCTTTAGTTGTGTTGGATGCACATTTATTACTTGGAAAAGTACATTATGCCATGGGAATGTATGAAGAAGCTCTGAATCATTATCAACAAGCTGAGTTGCATGCCCTTACAGAAAAACCATTACCTTGTAGAAGTCTACGCATTATTGCAGAATCATATGCAATTAAAGGTTTGCATCAGAAATTATTTAAATTATATAGTACATTGCTAATACATACTAGTGCATTATTATTCTTCATATCACATATAACAGCCTGTCATTTAAATAAAGGAATGGTTTATATTTACTATAGTTTTGGTGTTTTACATATTTCACTTAACAGTTATTTTTCTGATAGTTTAGTAGTTTAGAATATTAAATTTGTGCCAAATTTGAAAATGTTACACTCAATGTAGATATTGTAGTAAAAAAATTTAAAGGACTGCATACTATTTTTTTTTATTGGCAGTCCATACTAAGTATAAATCTTCTCATACACCAGTCTGAGGTAGCATCAAATCTACAAACTGGTATTTATAAGCATGATAACTTTTGAGAATGTTTGCTATCTATTTAGTATTATAATCAATATTCAACTTAGAGAAAGAAAGATTGTTTACTTTAGACACAGAGAAACATTTATCCTGCCGAAGACTGCGCATTATAGCCGAGTCGTATGCAATTAAAGGTTTGTATTTTGCTTCATTTTATTTTGCTTTCTTTTGCAATGTGTAAGTGTATCCCATTCTTTTTAAATTCGCTTCTGTCAGCTATTAGAATGTTAAGTTATAATGAAAAATATCTTAACGTAATATGCATAAATAAAGTACTGAATTATTTTGCTCTGTTATGTTTTGCTTTAATTTGTACTGCAATTGTATGTGTAATACAAATTCAATTAATAGAATTATGAAATATTTATTTCAATTATATGTATAATTTGCTATCTTCATCAAATGGAGATACATACTATGTTTTTTGAATAATTTATATTAATCTTTATTTTATCTGGTATTTCTTTTATCTGATGATAGGTCTTTGTCTGGAAAAGTTACCACCATATTCCAAGTCAAAATACAAAATAGCAGAATGGCAAGAACAAATCATCAAGTGCTATGAAATTGCTGGGGACTTGACGTTAGTGTATTTACAGGAACAAGACAAACTTGCAATGCAACATCAAAATGGCACGTCTACCGTGAATAGTAACAATGCAGGTGACGTAAATTGATTTTCAGCACATTGTTTTCTATCATATAATGCTAATTGATCTTTATTCCATAATTAATGTCAGTATGAATAAGATTATGATAATTAGCAGTAACTTCCAGTGAATAAATGAATAAAAGATAGTAGTGGCTAATATTATAACATACTGAACGTAGAAAATATATGTATAATATTAACGACATTATTTTTATTTTTTTTCAGGTGATTTTATAGGGTTGTTGGTGAAATGTGACAAAACTTGAAATTTGAGTTTTGTTGTTAATACGTTAATATCATTTGATCAACAGGTACAAATTCTTCTCAGTCTTCATTTTGTTCTACAAAACATATTGGACCAATTTTGGAAACCACGCTACAAAGGGCACCCATATTATACATTCAAACTGGTAATATTCAAGGTGCTATAAATCGTTATAGGTAAATAACTTTTTTCTGGATATATATAAAAGCAAGGTAACAATAATAAATATAATTTTAAAAATACTTAAGTAATTTAATCTTTGATTTATCCAAGAAAATTATGTTTATCAAATTAAATCACTTATAAGGGAAGTTTTATCTGCTGTGGAGTCTACTGCAACTCAAAGTCTTAGGGTTATGTTAACAAGGCAATTGGCAGAGGTTTTAGTTCGAGGAATAAGCGGTGCCGAGTATAAACCTCCAGAACCGTCAAGTGATACAACTGGTGATATTATTCATAAAATATTGCTGTTATAATAAAATATAACTTGAAAATAAAGCACCAAATTATAATTTAAGTGACTTTTCAGATTCACCATGGAAGCCAAAAAAGTATTTAGGTCCTAACATGTTTGTACCAAGAAACGAATATGAAGAAACAATCTTACTGTTATTGATAAGTGAAGCTATGGCAGTTAGAGATGCTGTACTTAGTCAGTCCCCAGAATTCAAAGAAGCAAGAATACATGCTTTTGAAAATGCCACAGCGGTATACGATCTTCTCACAGTAGTTGTTGTGAGGTGGAGTCAAGTGGATTTACTATACGAGGTTGATATGATTATATAAATTGTTCAGTATTTATTTTTTAATTGAATATTCTTATGTTATTCATTATTTATAACATTTAATATAAATATAGAATTAATTTTACATTCTAATAGTCATTTGAAAGAGCAATGAAATTCTCTCATGAGGAAGCACATGTTTGGACTCAATGCGCACTATGTTTAATTAGTATGGGCAGATACATGCATGCATATAGGGTTTTAAGAGTGGTAGCAAGGTTAACACCACAAAAAGTAATGCCTTGTCTTTTAATTGCAAGACTATGTTACGAACAATTAAATATGGTAAGATATAGATGCACATATCACATAAAGTAATACATATTCGGATAAATAAAAGATAAATTATGAAATTACACACGGAACAGGTAAGAGAAGGCATTGAATGGAGTCAAAAGGCGCTTCAAAGAGAAACAAAAAATTCACAAGGGATGCAGTCCAGATGTCATCTTTATATTGGAATTGGTCATAGTATTCTTGCTACAAATACTATAGTAAAAATGGATAAAACGTACCATACTAAAACAGCTTTAGAATGTTTTCAGAAGTGCGTATGCGTATAAAAATTATAATAAGATATAAATTGAATGTTATAATTTATACATTTATTTTAATAGGGCACAACAATGTGATCCAAATGATCATTTGGCTGAATATTATTTGGCCCACGAATATGCTATTAATAGACAAATTAATGATGCAATGATTCATGTAAAAATTGCATTAAATCTTCGGGCAGAACACATTCCGTCATTGCATTTATTGGTATTATTACTGTCAGCTCATAAACAATATTCAGAAGCATTGCATTTAGTTAACAGTGTATTAGAAGAATATCCGGATAACTTGAATTTCCTTTATGTAAAAGCGCACCTTGAATTACGAAGCATCGGTGGTGAGCAAGCATTGTTTACCATAAAACATATGCTTTTACTTTGGAAACATTTGTACGAAGACCAAACAAATACTAATTGCAATGAACAACATAGTGAGAAACGTAGTGAAACCAGAAGTGTCTTTCAGCTTTATGCTTCTGAAATGTCTGACAAAGATTCCAGTACGTATCCAGTATCTTTCTCAATCTCTATTTTATAAGTAATCGTTATAAACAGTAGCATTTCAAATAGGTTCCGTGCATGCACAATCATTGGCTGCTTCAAGAGTAGAACAAGCGCTCTCTGAAGTTGCATCTTCACTCAGCTCTTTCACACCAAAACCAGGACCACAAAGAGCGTGGCTGCTACAATTACAAGTGTGGTTATTGCTCACTGAAGTATATCTAGTTTTAGATCAACCAAACGGTGCAGTTCTTTCTTTACAAGAAGCTACAAATATTTTTCCATTGAGTCATCATATTATGTACACAGTAAGTTTATACTGTTTGTATAAATAGAAAGAAGTTCAACGTGTTTTACATTTTATATAACGGTATTGAAATTTCATTTTAGCGGGGTCTCTTACATGAATATAAACTGGAATATATGGAAGCAAAGCAATGTTATCAGAATGCAGTTTCAATTAATCCTTCACACATAAAGAGTTTACAACATTTGGTAACATTTATTTGGGATAGTTTTTGAATTATGTAGTGCACAGTTATTTAGGAATTATTTATATTATTAGGGTCTAATTTATCACTATTTGGGAAGTCAGAGGTTGGCCGAAAAGACGTTAAGAGATGCTGCAAAAATCGATCCGAATTCTCATCAGACATGGTATAAATATAATATTTTAACTTTTAAACAATTTTTACATCATACAAAATGAATTAATTATAATTTGTCTAGGTATAATTTGGGAAAGGTGTTGGAATCCTTAGGTGAAGTAGAAGCAGCAAGCGATTGTATGGCAACAGCATTGGAAGTAGAAACCACAAATCCAATATTACCAGTTCTCTCAATACCAGTAACCTTTGAATGATTCAAAACTATAAGTATTTAAAAAAGGACGTTCAAAAAAGTCACAGTTTATTCTGCAACATTGAAATTTCTTTACCCTTCTGGGTAATAGTACCTGCTTATCTCTACACTGTTACATTATTGTATAAATAAATGGATTAATTAAAAATATATTAGAACTGTACAAATAATTTAAGAAAGATCACTGTAAGAAATTCTAATAAAGAAAATGCTATGAGACCAAAAAATACTTAAATAATTTTTCTTAAATATTTGATTTTATATAATCTTTTATTTTGTTAGAAACACATTACTTTAGAAGCTCAATTATGTATTTTAACTTACTTTTATTAATATATTTAAAACGTTGTCTTAAAAGTTAATGCTAAATTATTTTACTTTTTATAAATTATATCCGTACATGTGTTTATTATAGTAAAAGTATTTTTATATTAGGTATTGATTGAGTAATTAAAATTTCAATGTACTTCTATTAACATTTTTAACGATGATGAACATGAAAGTAAAATGACACTGGATGATATATTAAATTAATAACGATTACTAAATTATGATGCAATTTAAACAAGTTTCTACAATACATAAATTTATATATTATTACTTATTTTCACGTAATATTAAGAATAGAAATTCTTGAAACAATTAATTCCGAGTTAATATCACGGTACATGTAAAAAATATAATATGTATAAAATTTTATACTTTGCCAATAATAAAAAAATGTATCAATTAAATCAAATTAAGTTCTATTCAAATATAATAAAAAGAACACGCTCATTCATATCAGATATTTATAAAAAGAAAATTGACTCAAAATTACATTGTTCCTTGATTGCACAGTAAGCTTCTCAGCGCCTTTATTTCTTGTTAAATTAATACCAATTAAGTAATGTATCGATGAACATAAGGTACAAAATTAACATTTTTTTACCGTGACACTTATTAATTTCCCTTCTTTACCGTTAATCGTGAACGCTGCTGTGCGCTTCTCCATATCCCCCCATTCCTTCTCTTTTTAACGAGATTACGGAGTCACCCTATCCTACTCTATCGCGTGTCGCATTGCGCGTTTATTGGCGCGCAGGCTCACTGCAACCTATCCAAAGAACTTTTTCGAAAAGCATACTTAAAAGTAAGCCGGATCTATGAGAGACTGCGTCATGAATACATATTTTCTACCTTCTATCAGTCAGAGCATCGATTTTTCCCAGGAACGATGCCCAAAAACAGATTCGCACCAGGTTTACCTGCGGCACTTCGTACCGCGTCACGTTTAGCGCATCACGCATCTGCAGAGCTTACGGCTATGCGTAATACAATCGACCAACTATTATATCATCTTACCCTTTTTTTTCTTTTCATACTGATCGAATAGAACCTACCGAAGATTATAGGGCTACGATATAACTGGAACAACAAAGAGATGAAATACATAGTATGGAATATAGAAGACACATTAGGTTTGAAATTCAACCACTTTTAATTACAACCCCTTCGATTACGATTGGTAAAGTGTATGTTATAAATAGTAATATATAATTCTTCTTCTTTTTTGTATAGTTAAGATAGCACAGAAAATTAGTTCGTCCGTAAGGTACTTTATCTATCAAATATATGGTTCACCAACGCATTATCTTTTGAAATATAGTATAAAGGACGTTACAAGATGTAATTAACTTCAGGTGAATGGTATTTTATTTCAAAGAATAAAACAAACAGATATTGATTTTCTTATCTCAAAATACAAGATTTATAGACTTAAGTATATCAATATATTAAGTTTCTTTTTTTATAAATTTTTTACAGATAGATACAAATTTACTTATAATAATTTACATACAGTTTTCAGATGGTAACTGATATTCTTGGCAAAGAATATTTCAATTATTGCACAGCGTTGTTTAGAGGATTCGAGCGATTGAAAATTTGAACATTTTCTACTAAGGCATTTTACCGTATAGCTGACACGTAGTTACATTAGTGGACACACGACGATGTACATCTTTGTGATGCAGTCTCTTTTGATAAATTCAAGATGACCTTGGTATACTTTCAAAAAATTGGTCTGGAGGAACGGTCGCTTCCGTTAGGAACCTTCATACGTGAACGTTCTTTTTTGTCGCACGCATGCTCATCACTTATTATTGATATCGCGAACATCGTGCGACGCCGTTACCGCATATCGGTCACGGCCACCAGCGAAACTGTTAATTATCTATTAGATACGAATAAAGTTTATGAATATCAATACTTATCCGACATCATGATTTCAAATAAATTAATGAATCGGATACATTTAATCGGGTCACTTAGTTGACTAAAATTTCTTATTTACATTGTACTGCACATTACATTACATTACTTTTATCAATGAATTCAGAAAGTAATGAAAGAAATTGTAAAAACGTTTCAGATTACGGATAAACGACTCACCATAAATTAATTTATTTTTACCGTTATAAATTATACAATGCTTCTTCCAACGCGAGGCATGCGTCGTGTTGCATACTGAAGGGGTTAATACCTATGTGTAACCGCAGAGCACGCAACAAATCTGCCTTTTTTCTATTAAAATACGTTTTTGGTGAAATGTGTTGCTATGATTAAAATTGTACTTTTAATCTTAGAAATGAATTTCATTTTTTTTTTCTTTTTTTTTTTTTAATCACTTACAGACACGATTGCGATGAGACGAATGATAAGATAAATGAAGATGTGATTGATATAATTGTTAATACAAAGGTAAAACTGGATTTAATTCTTTAATTACAATACAATAATTATTATTCTGAAACGAAACATTTCCCGTTTCCAGGAATGAAGATTACTTAGGCAACCTTTAATGTTTCCTTCCTTTCTGTACAGGAAATCATAGACTCGTCATTCACATTTTTGTGTCGCGCGTCATGCAATGATCGCATTTGAAATAATCAACCAACGTAAACTTGTGAATCGAATTGTTATTCATTTAGTAACGCGTTCGGATTTTATTTTGTGTCATCGTTTTTCTAAGATACTAGTCATTCCTATAACCGATATGACTAATACAAAATTCATTAAAAAATTTTATCTATATCCTTAGTCATGCTTGATTACACATCTTGATGATAATTATCAGTCAAATTCGATTCAATTCTATTTCTTTACTGAAATCATTATTCAGGTGTAGGTACTCGTAAATGAGGCAGACGTCATTATTTTTCATTGTTTCTAAAAGCAAATTAAGGTATAAGAAATTATTCGTAACAACATACTCATTTCGGTTTCAAGTTACTTGAATATCACGGATTCATAATTCCATCATTCGTTAACATCATTCCAAAGATACTGAAAAGCGTTTTAAAACGTTTCATATAGTCGGTAAGCATTAACCCATCGTGACCTAATATCGTCCAGAGGACGAGGTACAAAACGGAGTCGAGAAAGCTGCACCACCTCTCTTAAACACCTCAGAGTTCTCCTGTTTTTCAATCAAATACTGCTTCATTTAAACGATAATTTAAATCTATAATCGATTGAGAATTATAAATATGATTCTTGGTTGCATAGCTAAAGGGTTCTGCTGAAGCAGTCTTAGTTAATGATATAAAAATTAAACAGGGGGACTAACGATAGAAGTGATACGAAAGCGAAGGTAAAGAGGAGAAGAGAGAAAGCAAGAGAAGGTAGGGTAATAAGAAAGATAGGTAGTAAAGGAGAAAAGTATAAGGAGAGGAATGGTAGAGAAGAAGAGGGATAGGTGAGGAATAGAGAAAGAGAGATGTAGGGCTAAACGCACCCGAAAAACGCACTCATTGCATTCGAGCCATCTCTCGCAGGGAAGCCCGGCTTTGACCCGGTAGCCGGCGGCGGCACAGTCCGCGCGGCTGCCTGACGCATTGCAGGTGCGCGTTGGCCAATCACAGGCCTGGTTAGTTCGCCCGGACTTGTCCTGTAAACACGACCGCACCCACCCCGCATGTAAAGCGGATTTACACGGTTGTCCATGACGACCATTCTGTACATCGGATGTCGTGTCGTTCCTACTTCTTCCCATTTGTCCAATTAAAAACAACTCGTTTTTTTCAGGGTTTTCACAGAGGAGAAGCCGCACGGAACTATCTGTCGATCGCGTAGGAAACGGCGCAGCGCATCGCCGCGTGAACTCCCCTTAACCCCCGCCTTAGCGTCTGACCAATCGCGAAGCGCCGTCGTATAGTCCGTTAGGGGCGGCGTAGTGATACTTGACCGAGACAAGCGGCAGAGAGGCTCGTACATCGAGAGAGAACGGAGGACTCCATTGCTGTTCGGAGTGTGTTTCTCGTCGGCCGTGTCGTATTGCGTGTCTGTCCGCGCTTTCGTGCACACAAGTTTACCTTCCACGTTGGCCGGAGATTGTGAATCAAGTATCCTTTGTGTCTAGTGCCTAAGCGATATTTGAAATCGTCGAGCGTACCAAGACGTAAAAACGAGCCAAAATGGTAAGTCTGAATTCTCTTTTTCTGGTGCGTGTGCCTGTGCCTATGCGGACGTCGCTCGGCAGCGGCCCCTCGCTCTCGCCCTCGCCTTAACATTCGTTTGCCGCATTGACGCGCCGAGTGCACGTGCAACTGACCGATACGCATTTACCGAAAACCTATTTTTTCCATCTATTTCCTAACATCGATACATTTCCTTCTCAATCATATGACATTTTCTATTTTATCCTACATATCTTTTATACCTACGCACTATTGTGATATTACATTCGTAATGGCCGGTATGCGGAGATGGACCGACTATCGATCCATTCCTCCTCCAGTACCAGCTATACGTATGTTTTTCCCAATCCTTTGATATGCTACGAACCGAAAGAGTTGCTTGATCAAATTCGCGGAAACATCGAAGGATTAGATAAAAGGAATAAAGATTTTCCAATGTTTCACTGAAACTTCATCATAGTTACAGTGAAAACTTTCGAGATTCGATGTCGCCCGTAATACGTTGTCAAGTATGTATTGATGTTAGCGTATAACGGTAAGTTCAAGTATTGAATTGCGTTAAGAGACTTTTGAAATCCTGAATTCACGAGTTTTATCGGTTTCAAACGCTTTATCTTCAGATTATTAAACCCGTTACGAGATAATAGCTATCATATGTCTCACTGGATATTTTATAACTTCATTTTTAACTTACATTTAATCACTGATATCAAACTTAAGTTTTCGTTCAAAGATATCGTGTTAAGGTAATTTTTAATAAAACTATACCAATTTTATGAAATATCTTAAATACACCAAATGAATAGCAATAATGTAAAAATTGAATTTGTTCATTGCTTCTTATACATATTTAGTATATGGCTTAGTGTGTACTTATGTATCCGAAATCAGCGAACATACTAAAAATTTGAAACTTTATCTTATTTTAAGCTTCTAAGTAACATATTAAATTTTCATGAAACATTAAAACTAAAATACTTAAGAGGAAATATTATACATTTATTTATCAAAATTTTATCTTTTTTTTTTACTCATTGTTCCTAATAATATAGCGTATAGTATTCGACACTCAGCCGTTACACGGTATACCTCACTATTGATTTTCGCGGTCTCTCGCCGATGCACCAATTTCCCGTAGCCCTTATACATTCCCACACCCAACCTTCGATTAGTTTTCATAAACACCGATTTTTCACACAATTCGAAATAAATCTGATACCATATTGTATTTTTGTACACGAGAATTATGGAAACAACTGCGAAATATATAAATACTTTTTTTTAATTTTAAACTACGATTTTAGTTCCCAAGATTCGGGTTACGTGGAAAGATTGTACATCTTACACACTAAAAATCTGAAAATTGTATTTTCAATTATTCTATTGCGAGTTTAAAAGTACTTGACGATTTTTCTGCAATATAACCTAAAATATCATTGTACTTTTACGATTAAACTTTATAATTTATATTTTTAATACGTCAGAATTAAGTGAATTTACATAAATAAATCTTAGATTATGGTAAAACAAATATATATATATTTTTTAATAAAATACGATTATACGATTCCTATTTGTAATGTTGAAAAATATACGCAAGATGCATTTGTACCAATTATATATACATTTTTTTCATAGACATTTGTTTTTAATATAGATCTAAATGCTCAATAGATATTTTTGTATAAAGTATATAGAAGAAAGGAGAGTATGCAGTGCAAACTACATATGTACATTTGACCTATATTGCGAGGTGTTTCATTCTAGAAGTTATAGTAGATTTGAAACAATTTTACATGTTAATTAATTATTATTATTTAGCTGTATTAGATGATGTTTAGTATTTATGTAACATAAATAATTAATCATATAGGAATTTCATAAAATAAAATTGTAACATGTTAAATTATTTCTTATGATGTACCGAATTACACGATATGGTTTACTATAATTGATTTAAACAACTGAATTGGAATTTATGACTATGTTAAAGATAATAAATATAGTTGTATGTAATATGTTAAGTATACTGATTATTCTGAAATGAACCTTTGTTTTGTTTAAAGGCTGATCAACTCACAGAAGAGCAAATTGCAGAATTTAAGGAAGCATTTTCGCTATTCGACAAAGATGGAGATGGTACCATTACAACCAAAGAGTTGGGTACAGTTATGCGATCGCTAGGTCAAAATCCTACAGAAGCAGAGCTTCAGGATATGATCAATGAAGTGGATGCAGATGGTATTTCTTTTTTAATTCTCTATTATGATCACTTTATTTACAGTGTTCTGTTATTGTTTGTTATGCAAGTTTCATCATACTTCATATAACATGGTTAATATATTTGCATAATGAGAGAATAACATTTTGCATGTGTTTCTTAGTAATTTGTTATTAAAAATATTGGAAAAAATCTGATTTCAGAAAAAATCGAAATTAAAAATACTTGGAATTGTAGGTAATGGCACAATCGATTTTCCGGAATTCTTAACCATGATGGCTCGCAAAATGAAGGATACTGACAGCGAGGAGGAAATTAGGGAGGCCTTCAGAGTATTTGATAAGGATGGAAATGGTTTCATATCTGCAGCGGAACTCAGACATGTTATGACAAATCTTGGCGAGAAACTCACTGATGAGGAAGTAGATGAGATGATTCGGGAGGCTGACATTGATGGTGATGGCCAAGTGAATTACGAAGGTTGTATACTAAAATTTGATATTAATTTTATTCTTATCATACATTCTTTGCCTTCTAAATTTTGTTTGTTTAATACTTAGCATAATTTCTTATTTTAATAGATCAATTATAATAAGAATTTATAAATATTATTTTTATTTGTTCAGAATTTGTCACAATGATGACATCAAAGTGAATGCAACATGTGTAATGGAAAAACTTGCAACTTGGAGTGGTGTTGACGTATTAAAATAAATCAAGAAACAAAGAAAAAAATAATGTTAACAAAATGCGAATTGACCAGAACGTGAAAAAAAATCTTATATCTGGACGCAAAGATGTCTATAAAACGCGAAAAAAGTCAACGTCCGACATGCGTTAATCATCATTAACGATAAGTAATACAGGGCAATTGTTTAATTAAAGAGTTATACCACTAAAATCATTATCTCTAAATACACAAAATACTTAACCACAGACAACATGAACATAAAAGTACAGTTACACAGGCACGAACACAAATATGCAGCACATACACATACAACATACTCGTATATATACAAGAGATGATTTATTTCCATATAAAAGAATATAATTAAAAAGTGTTAGATATATATATATATAAAAAACAGACGCGCATGTTTGTTGATGATAAAAAGTACATTCACAGTACGTTATCTTGCTTTCCTCTCTTTTCAGCCTTTTCCTGTTTCTTCTTTGCATAAATCTGAAAATTATTTCACATATTTCTTTCCTTTCTCAATAAATCACTAATAACAAAAATTGAATCGACGAGTAGGAAAATGGAAAAGTATTAAAAGAAAGGAAAGATCTTTACGTGCTGCTACAGCACATTATGTAAATTCGTTTAGGTGAATTGAAAATTTATTCTGTTTAAATCTAGAAACGTACTCGTAATGAATGTCATCGATACAGCGCTTGCCGTAGAGAAAACTTTATCAGTAACGTACATGTCGAGCGTTTGTTTTGTTTTGCCAAAGAAAATTCGAGATTTAGCATCGTTTTTCCAGAGTTCAATCTTTGGCTTATCGATGACTTCGTACATTCTATATTACGTTGTAACGAATAATTTAATTCTTCTAATAACCGAAAAATCAGGAATAAAAGTGTATAATGATAAAAAAAAAAACTGAAACCACGAAAAATTAAGAGATGCGTAGTGCAATCTTAAACTTATGTTCGCGTAGAATCTTAAAAGGTTTACGAAATTGAATCATATTGAATTCTTAGTAAAATTTCTTTCTTCATGATTTGTGGGATTTATTATGTCTTCTTTGAACCTATGTACATGACACAATATTACACAAAAACACATACCAAAAAAAAGGAAAAAAAGAAAAAAAATAACATAACACATTTCACCAAGTGCGTTCTGTATTCAATTTCATTATAGCCTTCTTCTTCATAAGAACACATCTAAGTTTGTATCTTGTCTCTACTGAGAAAGCCTTAAAACGCGTGCGCGCGTTACACAACGTCGACACCACTTTTGTTGAAATCTAAAGAAATCACAGAGAAATAGGGAAGAGGGATTTAAAAAAAAAAAAGGAGGCAAGTCACAGTGATCGGTGCACTATATTTTCCTTCGCCCAGGGGTGCGTGCCAGTCTCGCAAGCGGAGCAACTAGAACCGGAGAAACTGGTGTGATTTTGTGCGATTCGTACGATAATGTTACTTAAGAACTAAGAGTAAAAGAACAAACACCGAACGGTGGCAACACATGCGTGTCGGTGGTTCAGTCATAATATATATGTAATATATATTATATATACATATATATATATATGCATATATATATATATATAAAACTAATTTACGAAAAAAGGAAGAAAAGAAGAAAGAATTCCTCCACAGTCCTTTATTATTTAATATTGAAGTGAACAAAATGAGAAGTACTTGTATTTCTGGTGACCTAGATCGCATTGATCATAAAAAGACAAAATAAATGTATCCTCATTTTTAGGTCACAACTACTCAATTCGTTTCCTTCATTAACCAATGGACCTCTCGTTTCAGCCGTTTTTATCTCATCGTCATTTTTCGAATGGCATCTAGAAATAGTTTGCCGACAAATGTATATGTATAAATTCACTGTCAACAAAGATTCGCGTTAACATATCTTAAACAAAAAGTTTCATCGATTCGAAAGCCTTTTATAGAAATATTATAAGGCATACGAATCGTAAAATAATGAAAAAAAATTCTTAACTATTTTACTTCACTTGCGATCGTTCTGATAGCTGTTATCGTTATTGTGAACACAGAAGTTAAAATTTAGTGATTTACGGCGAAAATGTTCTCACTTTGTAAAAATGAAAAAAAAAAAATTTATGAAGAAGAAAGAGAAATCGCGACAACAAAGTCCTTTTGTAAATGGTGATATAGATTTTACTCGAAGAACATCCCTATTTAAACTGCTTAAACAAATTATTGCTCGTTTCATCGATCGTTGACAGTTAGTGTTTAAGTCTAAGTTAAAAAAGAATATATTCCAATATTTAATATTAATTTTATATTCGTGTCGCAAAGTTCTACGTAGTCTAAATTTATCATTTTCCCGTATTTAAAAGAAAAGTGATTTAACGAGAGTTCTTTAATAACGAGCGCCGAGAGTCGATATTGAGTTTGAAAAATGAAGTCAGTATTTTACGTCTCAAGAAGAAAACTGTAGCTTGAGATATATCGTTAAAAAACATCATCGTGGTCTCGTTTCTTTAAAGATCGTTTCTCGAGACGTTCGTTTATTGCAAATAAAAAATAGTTGAAAATTCTATTCGAGAGTAACTCTTGTTCTCAATCTTTCCCTTGAAAAATATATAAAAATATTCAAATGCGATGTTTATGAAGCTCCGTCGTGACGCGAATAAGAAATTATTTATTTTTGATGTTTATCTTTGAAAAGTAATTCCAATAAATGTAATAATCCATTCGGCTAAAAAACAAATTCTATACATTTCTTTCTCCTGTACTTGAAATATGTACGTTCATTATTTCTATTGTATGTGAGATATGATTCTCCGCCATATCAAAGGCATACTTCACCTATCGTGCGTGACGAAGCGATACAGTTTGTATAAAGTGTTGATATTAAGTTAATAAATTGTTCCCATATATTAAATGATCAATTGATTCTTAATTACTTTAGTAAAGACAAATTATCAACTATATTCTGTACGGGTAACTCGCGTAATACGTACAATTATTATGAGCAATTACCAATATTTTAATTTATTAAAAATCATAATCACAAATGTTAACATTAAAAGTCCTCTACACGGTGCTTTAATTTAAAAAATTTAGAAAAATTATTTTGATTTTCTAGAATACGTTTCTCTAAGAAAATCAATATTTGGGTAGAGTTAGTTCACAAGAATGCATGTATAAGAACGAATCTTTATGCTTTCTTAATCTTACACTTTTTATATTTTTTTATATCTTAACAATTTGATAATTGTATTAGTGTAATTGAATTTAAATATTTAAATCCTGTACTTTAGCATGTAACAGGTGCACTTATAATACAATTTATTTAATTTTGTTAATTCATTCTTTAAGAAATTTTAATTATTGTTATTAAATCCATACAAAATTAATGTGAAAAATATTATATTTTGAGCATATCTATTGGAAGATATGTTTTATAAATATTTTACATATTTTTATACTGTACAACCTTTTGGCATAACTTTAAAATGTAGGCACACTTCTTGTAACAAATTTTTTAGTATCCTTGCTTGATTTTCAGACTTCTAAAAATATACATACATTATAATATATATTAATACAAGTTTGGAACATTTAAAAATATTAACATTTTGTTTTGAATAGCAGAAATGATGAACTTACCCCATCAAGTGTAACAGTTGGTATAAAAGAAACTTTTGGTGTTAAGGCTTTTGTCAGCTCTCCATATCTGGCTAAAAGTTCTTTACCTTTTGCTTCAACAGAGCATTTGAAAATATCCTTATAATCTATATTCATTTTTTTTGCACAACTTTCCATGATAATTACTGGTTCTATATTGTTCTTAATCATGCAAGATAAGTACTCTAATTGAATGGAAGAATTTTTTAAAACGTCTATGGAACATGCATGGATTATATTTGCTTCACATTCAATAGGACCATGCTGACATGTGAATTCATAGCCATCTTTTGTGTTTATTGTCTGCAAAAATTTGTAATCTTAAAATCACTGCTTAAAATAACCCTCTTCTTGATATAAAGAATACTGAAATATTGAATGCCTTACTGTAGCTTTCCCATAAGGTATTAATTGCACTTGTATGCTATCTGGAAGTCGGTGATATGTTGGCAGTAATTGTTTGATGAAGAAACTCCGTGAATCTGGGCATAGTGCTTCATAGTATACAGCTATGCGAATCTTTTGTTTACTCCAGTCATCTTTTTGGCTTAATATTACCAAATGGTTGTCCTGAAGCTGTGCTATACAAAACTTAGCAGATATTCGAGAAAATCAAGAAAATTGTAAGATTATAAATAAAAGATTTTATTTATTATTTTTTTCTTACTAGGTATCAACATTCAATATTACATATTACATGAAATCTGCAACTTTACAGAACAATAATAATTTCACATTCAATAATTAATAATTTCCTTTATGATTAGTTATAAACTATAAAAATTTATAAATATTTATAGAGTATCCAAATTTGCAATCAAGAGTTAATAAACTATTTCATTCTCAATGATATTATTAAACCATAAAATTGAATGTATAGCAATTAAAAAGAGAAATTGCAAAATCAAAATTCAACCTGCTTTACAAATAGGCGTGTATGTTTTTTACCTTCTATGTCAGATTTTCTTTGCGTAAAACCCAACCACACTTTTGTCAGCTGCCAAAGCAGTAAAACTGATATAATAATAAACAATATCCTCCATCGAAAATTTCCAAATCCCATTATCTTTAATCGTAATTATAAAAGCTAAAATACTGCGGAATAAATTTTGCTTATGATGTAACAATTTCAAACGAATAAGAGATATCTCCAGTCGTGTCACATCGCAGAACTAACGCGTCAACATCATTTTCTCTTACCTACTCTGAAATCTGTACTTTCTTCTTTTGAAACAGAGAAAAATCTATGACTAAATTTAAAAAAATACGAAATTAATTCATATTTAAAAACTAATTGTATTAAAAAAATTTTCAATGTTTCATAAGATTATTAAAATACTCTTAAATTTGGAAACTTTACAAAGTATTAAAAAGTGGTTATAATATTCATAAAACTACAGAATAACTTTAACATTAATGAAAAGTTAAAACCATATAATTATATAGCATTTTTAACAATTAAAAATTAATTTATTATACCTATTATACACTGTAATTTGTAGTTTTTAATTGTTACAATAATACTGAAATACTTAAAACTACTTTCCTCAATTTTTTTTACTTTAGGTTTAAAAAAGTGCAATAAAAATTAATGAACAATTTTTGATGAACATAAAAAATCATTTAAAACAAAGTATCTTTATTTTAAATTAGTGAAAATATTAATAGCAGCTTTCAAAATATTGTTAGTAAAAAAGTATGTATATTTATTTTCCAATATTTTCAAGTTCTTCTAAAAATGTTTTACATTTTCCTTTAAGAATTTTAACTCCTTCTGTAAATAATATGGCTGGAGGTAATGTTCCTACAGATTCAACAGTAACTGCAAACACAAGAAAAATGCCATTAAATTGAAGATACACAATGTTTCATTAAACAAATTAAAAAAAAACATTATTATTTACTTACATATAATATGATTTCGTACTCTACTTAATCGTACACATCCTTTAAGATCTTCGTGTTGAAATACGTTTCTAGAACAACTATCATAACGAGGGTTTTTCACTCTCGCTTCACGAGACTCTGGATCACCTGGTTTTTGTTCAATTACTTCTATAACACCAATACTGAAGCAATTTTTTAAACGATCCGCCATTTCTCCTCTAACTGGCTTTATTAATTGTATATCTGGTAGTAATCTATATGATGCTGTAGCTAAATTAAATAAACTTAAGTAGGTAAATAATTATACTGATGAATATATTTATTATATCAGTATTTCACAGTTGTGTAATACTTACCTACAGGAGAAAATTTAGCATGATCTTTCCCAATTCCTTTAATTGCGTGCATAAAAGCATGGATTTCTTGACCTGGTCGCATTTTACATATTAAAATATCATTTTCTAAAACCCCTAATTGCTCTCCTCCTCGTGGATACAGTTCTGCTTGGCGTCCAATTGGAACCCATTTAATATTTTTGCTATACACTATAAAGATATAATTGCTTATATTTCTGAAATATCTTTTAATATGAAATAACTTTGAAACTTTATCAAACATCTACCATTACTGTTTTTGTACATATCAGTTGTCCTTCGAGCATCTTTGGGAGCTTGGGTATTCCAAGTGCAAGTTACTTTAAGTTCATATCTTAGTGTATCTTGATCACTAACTTCATCTTCATCCTTAGCAGTAGATGAAGGATACTCAAATAACCTTGGATCAGCTTGAAGTGGTATCAGACCCAATCTGCAAAATGAAATTATCTTTCTTTAGGATAAAAGATTAAAATTTAACTTTTAAATATAAATAATTTTTACCTATGGGCAAGAACTTCATCCTGAATTAAACTTGTATTATTTACAATATAAACTTTTTCTATAGCCATGCTTGGTACCTCACTTAAAAGAACCCTACGGAAAGCATTAGCTAAACCAACAGGATAACCAATTAAATCAAACTCTAACTCTCTTTCATCTTCAGATTCTCTGACAACTTGTATCTTAAATTCCTGAAAATAGTATAAATTAATCATGATGAATTGAATATTTACATAAAGAATAAAAGAACAACTAAAATAAAAACCTTACCTTTTTAAAATTATGTAAATTCCAGTCTTGTGACTGATAATTGGTATATTCAGAAGCCTACAAACAAAATTAACATTCATCATTTATGTTTTCAATCAAATATATCCTGCATGTATTTCCTACATCCTTACATTAGGTATACCGTATTCTTCAAGAATAACACGAGATTTTTGGTTTTCCTCCATCGGAAGAGGTTTATTATCAAAACGAGGCATCGTTGCCAGATGAAGGCTTCATAATAAAGCCTTTGGTGACATCATACACGTCATGGAGAACTACTTAGATACATATCAAATTAATATTTCTCTTTATTCATTAGTTCATTACAAATAATTAAAGCTTAAAACAAAATGGGTATTGTATGGAACCAAAAAAGTACATTATTCAGTGTTTTCTTTGGTATTTATTATGTGAACGCTGTATAGCATGCCGTTTGTTGGATGCAATAACTGAGGTGGCGCTTGAATCAGTTTCCAAACATGAGCTGTTTTACCGACGCGAAATTTGGAGTTCGACCTCCACACTCGCATCACCTTAAAATTTTTGAACAAATGATTCATAAGAAGATATAAAAATACGATTATATACTTTTTATTGGTAATTAGACAAATTTTGATGTTGCATCAACAAAATAAATATAATAAAATATTCAGCATAGCATAATTCTTTTTTTTAGAAGTATATTTTTGTGTGTAATTGATCTTGAATCAATTAGCTTCTTATTTTAGCAATGTTCTATAATACCAGCACAGCCTTGTTTATGTACCCGTTTATTGAAAGCACAAGATATATTTGTATTTTTACATTTTACAAAATGTAGATGATGTTAACATATTTATAACGTGCACCATATTCTTTTTTCTATATTGTACAAATGTCAAACATTTTAAATTAACAAATGCGTAAATAATGAAAAAATACAAGATGTTGTTTGAATATATTTTATTTCGCGCATAAGTTTACTGAGAATGATAAATAAGAACCCAAAACCAACTACAATTAAAAAACATTATTTCAATTATCTGGTCTATCAAATAAGTTTCCAGATAATCAAAACGTTTTTTAAAATTTATGTATATTCAAACACATGAGTGTTCATACGTAAAATGTATAAATTCACCTTCAGGTTTCTTAAATTTATAAAATACTATGGATACTTTTCTTTCAAATGTTACTACCGAATAGTTTTTTAGGTTTTTGGTGCCTCGTACGTCAGTCATGGCATTTTTCTTCCTAATGAAATGTTCAGGAAAATTCAATATCGAGATTAACCGCATGCTATCGAGCTGGTTGACCTAAATACCATGGTGTCATTTTGTACAAACACGGGTGTATATTAATTATTAGAAAACGTTTGCCAATTTTGTCTAAAAAAATGCAGTTTCATGTAATTAATTCTTCCTGATAATACAAAGTTATCAAACATATCACGCTGAGTCATTTACTTACGATTATGTATTTCATGAAATCGTAACAAAATAGCGCTAAGCACTTTGCCTTTCTAAAAGCAGCTATCAATTATCTTCATGCCCCTTTTTAATGCATAGAATCAACTTTTGATTTTTAAACGAACGTGATCACAATAAAATGATCATCAAATCTATTAATAATAGTAACTGATATTAGAAACGAGTAATATATCAATCCTTCTAATATACAGTAATCTGTAAACTGTAAAACACTTTCATACAGGGTGTTCATGCAAACATTCATATATGTAGAATTACGTGCACTTTAAGTTTCCCTCACAATCATTCATAAAGGAGATGATGCTTGGAGATCACCCTACGCGCCTGAGGTAGGCCACCATGCAGGTTTTGGTGTATACATATGTATAACTCCTACCCCTTTAACAGCTTGAGATGACTTTCAAAGATTTCCTCCACATAAAAATAAAATAAAAATAAGGAACTAATTCTCTACACCAGGGGAAGCCTAGTGTGCACGTGAATGTACATATATATACATACATATACATAATATATATATTTTTTACTTTTTTTTTTTATTAAACACAGAATCACAGAGCAAACTGGACATGTCAGAGGGGCGGGAGATATTACAGTCTAATTGATTTTTCTGGTATAACGCATAGAGCTCACCTCCATCTTCTATATACTATATATACATATATTTATTTATAATATTATATAAATAAACATGTATATATATATATATATATACATATACACGTCTCGTTACTGTACAAAATATGTTCGCTGTTAAAATCAGCCGCGGCTTTAGTAAAAAACATATGAAATAGAAGGGGGTGAGCCCGGATGGGCGAAATTGCAGCCCACTCAGTATCTGCATAGAAGGTTTCATTAGTGGAAGTAATTAAGTTTTTATTTACAAATCAAGGCAATATCGTTAATTGTTTCTTCTTCTTTTTTTGTTCCTTACATGCACACTCGTACCTTTCATTCTGTTTATTTTCTCTCTTTATTCATTCCACTGTTCACATTCTCAACGGGACACTTTTGAACCCTAATAATTCCACTTCGTTTTCTTCTTGATAAATTTTGTACAATGCATGTGATAATAATAGTGCAATAAATTAATTGTTCTAAACGCAGTAACTGGAGTTTCCGAGTTTCATCTTCTTTATTCCCGTTTTTATTCCTCTCTTAAAGTAGTTGTATATAAAAAGTTTCAATTTCGATTCTGCAACCCGGTCGCTCGGCGAACGGCTTTTTAACCATTTTGTTTTCATATTTTTGTTTGTTTTTTTTTAAAACTATCATCACACCCGCAATAATATCTCTAGCATACATACACACATACAAAGTACGTACGGACGCGCATGCATTCTCCTTTTTTCCTTTTCTCGAAGGTATATATTTATATGTACGTCTTATACATATTTGCTCGGCTCGTGATACACAGCAAGGCTGCTTCAAATAACGATTCCTGTACTGAGAAAAATGTTAGCGACATGATCATTACGATTGCAACACGATCATTATCACCAAACAGCGGTCTCCGGTTCAAACAGAATAAAACTACTAATAATATTCATGTATAACTACTAATTAGAGTAACACCGGCGTTTCCTTCACCTTGAATCGTTAAATAATTCCGCATTTGATTAACGCGTATACCATAGATTGATCGTAATGCAAACGTATAAAAATAAGCTTTAATCAAACATATGATTACAAATCATCGATCGTAGAAGAGTACACATCGCTTAAGTAATTTAATCGAAGATAATCCATTTGTATTTTCGCATCGCAAATTAATATAACTCTTGTACTTTCGCATTGTATTACATACACACAGACATACCATGTGTGTATACGCACAATGGATACCGTTGAGTCTCTACAAAATTTCATCCATTCTTCAAATTGATCTACCTAAGTATTTATATAATATTTATATATATGTATATATACCTAATTACCTATCATGATCGTTTGCACCACGTCTTCGCGCTAACATTTTTCTCGATGTACAATTTTTCATAATATATCTAAACGAATTATGTGTGTTCGAGCTCATCCTCGGAGTTCTGCTACGGCGCATCTACAATCATGTTACAACTCCATAATAATATTAATAGTAAATAGTAATAATTAAAAAAGAAAAAAAAAAGGAAACAAAACAAAATGCTAGGAAAAGTTAAAAACACGGCAAAAGAAACGCATGTATATGTTACCAGATATTATGGACGTTTCTGAAACGTCCGGATAGATTGTGTGTGTATGATAAAAGCGATACACTGGTTTGTTAATACTAATTAATCACGGAACCACGACACGGTGAACATGATGTTTTTCAGGCATTTGATGCAACGACGATGTAATGTTGAATCCGAAAGATATCTTGAATCGGATACAACATCAACGTGGGGCATTACACGCCTCTCCTCGGTTTTCCTCGGATCTCCCCGACCGAAAAGTAATATCATTTAACGATACATTTCCATGTTCTAAGTTCTTTATCGTGCACTATCAGTGATAAACGTTCCTGCGATAAAAAAAACTAAAAAGATGATTTTAGGATTTTGCCACATGACTGTATATTTTGCATTGTAATCGCTCGTTTACGTCGTATATGATATTTACGACAGCTCTCAAGTGGCAGACGCGAAGAACATTGTAAAAGACATTGCAGATAAAAAGCTAACGAGTGTCAGATTGAAAATAGAGAATTCCTTTCGTTTTATTCGGTAGTCGTGTACGTATTTCCGGAGAAGGTGCACCACAGCTCGTAGAGTCATTTCGATGGGCAATTGTACAAACGAAAATGACTACAATTACTTTTGTTAATATCATCTTGCAAATACGCCATGATCTATAGCTTCATTTGAATCTGTTTCGCATTCTTTCTTCTTTAAAATAATTCTGCACAATACATTCATTAGAAACACATGGTTCAAGTAAAAGTACGGCCACTACATTCAGCTTAAACAAAAAGAATTCATTAAATCAAATATATCTAGAGATTTCGAGTTTTATCAAGCACTGATTGGCGAGGTACGTTTACTAAGTACAAACATTTCATAACATGTTGATTCTTAAATATCATTAATTAACGTAAATATAGCGATAGCTAATACAATTCTAAATTATAAATCGTTAAATTCTACATATAAACTTTCAACATTTATATACAGCTTTATGATTAGCTTGTATAATTAATTCGTCTCATCGTATGTTCAAATGATTTCATGTAAAAAATTATTACCTCAATCGGCTCTTTTTATAAAGGTAAGAAATGATCTTTGTAACGATGATCCATTTAAAATAACTAACAAAAAATTGATAAAACATGAAGTTGGAAGCCATTTAATATTATGCAATATGTATACGACTTATTGTTATATAATATTCTTATCTCTGTATACCCTAGCCCTTTCCTTTCCTGAAATCATAACTTACAGCACTGTAGATTTATTTTTCGGTTCAATGATAAATAACACGATAAATAACAAATATTATAAACGTAATATTATGTAAGTAAGCAAGAAAAGTTCATATTTAATAATGAAGTACTATTATAGTATACTAGATCTTGTTATTATTATGTTAAACAATAGTTTATTCAAATGGATGTTAATTTGATGCAAATGAATCTATTGCAAAGCTTAGCAAATGCATGTATTATAATACCTATTTTATCTTGACTAAAATATAGAATGTAAAAGAATTAGTTTTTATCAAGCTGTGTTTTTCCATTTATTAAGATGGGAAATACATATTGAAATTTCAAGGCAAAAGCTATAATTTAATTTACTGATCCTGACATTGCATTATGTAAAAGATATAACGAAAATATGTCAATATTATAATTGGATAAACATCAATAGCTGCAAGTGACTTATACGAACAGAGAATTCATCTGAAAATATATCTATTTAACTATCCCTGTTCTTAGTTCATTTAAACATCTAAATAATAATTAATATATAATATTTATAGTAAAATATGGTATCTGAAACTAAATGAATTGCGATAATAAAATTCAATTCACTATACCATTAGTAATAATGCATTAGTAACAATACTAATAAAATAAAAAGCACGAATAACGACAATTGGATTGAGTATGGAAGTATAATGCAATTTGTACATTTGTTATGCATGAATTAAGCGTATAAAGTTGACAGCTATCTATTAGTAAACGTATTTACATGTACATATAAAGTTATTATTTTTTTTTTACTTATTCTTGATCAATTATATCTAAATAATTCTAATTTATTAATGATATTATAATGATTATTGGATTAACATAATGCTCCGTTATTCATAAAATTATCTGGAGGGAGAGAATGATATGCATTTACCAAATTCTTAAATATGCTGAAAATTTTTTTTATGTAATATCCATATTATTATTTTCTGAGTTTGCTTTAAAAGAAAATTAAAATGCTATCAAAAGATGAAAACACAACATTATTTTTTCTTTTTATTTCATTTATTTAAATGATTTGTTAACGTTTCAATATTGTCATATTTCAAATCCTATTTGTTGAAAATATTTCTTTTTCGGTACAAAAATGTTAAAAAAATTAGTTGACTAATATTTCTTATATTTTCATAATTATTTTACATCATTAGATCTAATATTTTTTTTTTTTTCATTTGGTAATAAAAATGATGTTTCAATCTTAATTATAATCGATAAAAAACGTTTACAAATGCACTAATTTCTGTAATTATTTGGAATTATTAGCCTCATAAAATTTATACGAAAACTAATTATCATATTGCTTAGTATTTTTTATGCTAGAAGAATTCATTGAAATTTCATGTTAATAAAAGCAAACGAATTTATAGTAAATAAATGGAATATAAAAGGAGAAAGATAAAATGGCCCATCAAAAGACTCTATGTGATCAGGTATTACTTCCCTTTATACCACTTAACACTCCGACTTATTATATGTATATATTTTATCTCATGTAATTCATTCTTAAGGTACTCTATTTCAATTAAAATTATATGTAAGCACAAATCTGTGAACTTACCCAATTTAAAATTTATGTCACGTTTCACATTACCATTGCCATTTGTTCCTTTTCTTAAGTACACCAAGCACGGAAACACGCACATGGATTTCATTATGTTATCAATAATTTACATTTAAAGTTTATTCCATTTCAGTGTGATTGGAAGAGTTATTACCAATTGAGCTGTTTGTGATTCTTTTTCCAATTACCTGTATGTTAATTATTAGATCAATATTTTCAGTTCATTACATCTGGCATACTGTGAACAGTATTCTGTATTACTCTTTATCAGAAAAGAGAACTCAAGCCAACAATGAAACAGCTGGTGTTTATATCGCATCAAAACAAATGGTGCACAGGAGGACTTGGGATTTTCACCTCCTCTTTGAATGAT